ATACACAATGTTTCGGCTACACTAAAAAAGCCTTGGCTTTGGAGGTATATTTATACCTAAAGCCAGCGACACACATAACTATAAATAGCTAGAGCTTGAGGTTACTCCTTAACCGGAGTTAACCTCAACAATCTCCCCCTAAACTCGTGTTAAGGAAACAGTAACCTCTGAAACCTATATTATTACTCAGCGGGAAGTTCTAGACAGATGCCTATCACAAGGCCACTCTTTAGACGAGAGTTAACTAGAACTAGACCGTAGCCATAACAAGATAGAGTAATAACATAAAGAGGTAATTAGAGTTAGTATGCTAGCAAAGTTTACATGTGCTCCTCATGCACAACTTGCATGGTAGCATAGTGTCGCCTGAAACTCTCCAATGGAATAACTTTGGTCAAAGCATCAGATGGATTGAGTTTACCGTCAATCTTTACGAGTTCAATCGTTTTATCAGACACTGCTTGTCTGATAAAATGATACCTGATGTCAATGTGCTTCACTCTGCTATCCATGACCTGGTTCGCGGCCAAATGTAAAGCGCTCTGACTATCACAATGAAGATTAACCACGCCCTGCTTCAATCCCATTTCCATGATAAGCCTATCCAATCAAATAGCTTCCTTTGTCGCTTTTGCTGCTGCCACATATTCAGCTTCCGTTGTTGACTGAGCTACGCATTTCTGTAAGATAGACCTCCAACTAATGCTTCCACCGCCAAGTGTAAATACATACCCAGTTGTAGATCTCCTTTTATCTAGATCTTGTCCGTAGTCAGCATCAACGTAACCAAACAAGGATTTGGCATTGTCTAATAGACCATCAAACAATAAGCCATAATCCAGAGTACTCTTCAAATATCTCAAAATCCATTTCACTGCTTCCCAATGAACTTTCCCTGGATTTGACATGTACCTTCTCACCTTGTCCATCGCAAAAGCAATGTCCGGCCTAGTGCACACCATCAAATACATGAGGCTGCCTACAGCTTGTTCATAGGGAACACATGACATATTTCCTTTCTCCACCGCATCCGTAGGACATTGAGCTGCAGAGAGTTTGAAATGTGCTGCCAAAGGAGTCCATACTCCTTTGGAATCCATCATGTTGAACCTGTCAAGTATACGACGAACATAATACTTGCCTTGATTCAATCATAGTTTCTTCTGCTCATGATCTCTATGTATCTCCGTACCTAATATTCTCTTTGACTCCCCCATATCCTTCATCTTAAATGCAGACTTCAACTTACTCTTGCATTCATCAACATCGGATTGGTTTTTCGCCAATATGAGCATATCATCAACAAAGAGTACTAAAATGATGAGATTGAACGTCTCATCATTTACCTTCTTCATGTAAACACAATGATCATACAAACTCCGAATAAATCCTTGTGCCTTCATGAACTGATCAAATCGCGTGTTCCACTGCCTAGGAGCTTGCTTCAATCCATACAATGATTTCAATAATCTACAAACCAACCTCTCTTTGCCTTTGACCTCAAAACCAACAGGTTGTCTCATGTAGATCTCCTCCTCTAAATATACATAGAGAAGCTGTAACCACATCCATCTGATCCATAACAAGATCAAATATTGCAGCCAGTGCACATACCAAACGAATTGTAGCATACTTAGCTACCGGTGAGAAAACTTCGTTGTAGTCCACGCCCTTCTCTTGGCGGAAACCTCTAGCCACCAACCTAGCTTTGAAGATTTTCGCCTCGTCTCCTCCTGGATTATCTTTCAGCTTGTACAACCACTTGGAGTCAATTACCATTTGATTGGTAGGAGACTAAAACAGCTCCCAAGTCTTATTGTCAATCAGGGATTCCATCTTCCTCTTCATAGCAGTATTCCACTCAAGCTTATTGATCGAAGCTTGAGCTTCCCTGTATGAAGAAGGTTCACCTTCTTCCAAAATCAACGCTATACCATTCCTATCTTCGATATCAAAGTCACAATCTTCTAGAATGGATGAATTTGCCCACACACCAAACCTTTGAGGAGCCCTACTAGCACGATGCAATCTCCTAGTAGACGTTTCAGGTTGATCTCTGTTGTCTGAAACTATTGCAATAGGCTCATCAATGATAATTCGCTCAAGTTCCTCATGTTCTTGATGAACCGGTGCTTCTTCTTGTGACAAATCATTAGTGATATAATGATCAAACTCTCCCACGGTGATATCCGTGACTGGAGATTTTTCCTTGTCAGTACGAGGAGACTTAGAATTCTTCCCCTCTTTCAATAAGCCAAGCTCATTGAAAGAAACATCTCGACTAAAAATCACCTTACGTGCTAGTGGATCCCATAGCTTGTAACCTTTCACTCCACTAGCATATCCAAGAAAACGACATTTCTTGGATGTAGGGTCTAACTTAGTTCTCTGCTCCTTTGGCGTAAGAGGATAAGCAGTACAACCAAAAACCTTCAAGCGGTTGTAATCTGCCATCCGTTTATGCCTGAGTTCAAACGGTGTGAAAAATTGGATTGCACTAGAAGGAGAGAGGTTTACCAGATAAACTGCGGTGTTGACGGCTTCGGCCCAAAACTCTCCTGGTAAACCAGATTCACTTAGCATACTCCGCACCTTTTCCAACACTGTTCTGTTGAGTCTTTCAGAAATAGCATTTTGTTGGGGAGTGTAAACTGTCGTGAAGTGACGAGTAATCCCCTCCTCTGTACAATAGCCCTGAAACTCCTCAGAAGTATATTCGCCGCCATTATCTGATCGTAAATATTTTACCCTATTGCCAGTCTGATTCTCAACTTGAATGCGCCAAGTTTTGAAGGTTGAGAAGACCTCAGACTTGTGGGTAAGAAAATATACCCACATATACCTAGAGTAATCATCTATAAAAGAAACATAGTAGAGTTTTCTTGAGAGTGAGACAGTAGGAGATGGACCCCATACGTCACTATGTACATACTCAAGTATCTCCTTGGAATTATGAGTACCAACACTAAAAGCTTGCCTATGTTGTTTTCCCATGATGCAGTGTTCACAAAATGCAAAGTCAAGGGTACCCAAACCCGGTAACACTTTCTTGTCATCAAGAAGAGACAAGTATCTATCACTTATATGGCCAAGTCTGGAATGCCATAAATGAGACATCTCTCTGCGAGATCGGGTAAAGTTGACTTCTCCACAAATTGTGGTGCCCTCTAATAAGTACAGATTATTGTGCTTATGACCCTTAAGTATAATCTTCTTGTCACTGGATTTGACATCTAACACTCCATGCTTAGAGCTTCACTCCAAGCCGTGTGAAACTAACACTCCAAGAGAGATCAAGTTCTTTCTCATATTAGTAATAAATCTAACGTGTGTTAGTGTTCGATTTACAACATCAAACATGCGGATTTTAACAGATCCAACACCCTCAATCTTACAAGGTTGGTCATTTCTCATAAGAACAGACCCGTTTGATGTTGAGAAAGTATAGAAAAACTCTCTAATGTAGCAAATGTGATAAGAACAAGCACTATCCAAAATCCATACATCACCAAGAACTGTTGGTGAACTACAAAGGGCATACATCTGGCATCATAGACCGTCGGTAAACACGTCTTCCTCTTCAGAGTGAAGATGCTTCGCAACATTCGCCACTTGAGGAAGATTCGCATCTTTGATTTGCATCCGACAGTCCTTCTTGATATGGCCATTCTTGCCACATCTCCAACACACCAAGTTCTTCAAGTTCCTCTTGTTAGGGGATGGAACCTGAAAATGAACTCTCCTACGCTAAGGGGATCTCGATCTCTGCCGCTTGAACCCTGTACGCTGCAAATTGTCCTGACCCGATGGTTGTGACTGACCCCGGATCACAGTAAGTGCAGTACTTGAAGTGAATGGGCGAGAGAATGACAACATCTCCTGTTCCACCGCGTCTGCCAGAAGGGCACTTACAACCTCGTTGTAAGTTACAGCCTTGTTATCACGATGAAGTAGAATTTTTGATAGTGTCTGATAGGAAGGAGGCAATGAGTGAAGTAGATGCATAGCTTTCTTAATGTCAGAAAGCTCCTCTCGCATACTTTGAAGATCTACCAACAAATCTCCGTAGGCGTGAATGTGATCCTGAATTCTCGAGTCTGGCCTCATCCTGAAATTCAATAGCCTCATGTAGGTATTCATCACATGGGAGATTTTCTTCTGATGTGTATGAAACCGTCTCTATAGGGCATCAAAGAGCTGTGTAACCTCAAGATACTCCTCAACTTGCTTCATCACCGAAGGATCGAGATAATCCATCACAATGTAGACTGTTTGCTCTTGTGAATCATTTCAATCAATGTCAGTAATGTTTGTCTTTAAGCACATTAGCGAGACCCATAGATCTCAACTTGACTTTCACCTGCTTTTCCCAAAGCAAGTAATCGGATCGGTCATCAAGAGGAAGAATGTTGTACCCTGTTCTTGCAACTTGTTTCGAGGCCATCTCAGTTCGACAAAAACTAGAGATACCGTCTGTTGTCACGGCAATTTCGTCCTTCGGGTGCATTTTCAGCTGGTGAAAATGGTCAAGATGCACTTTACGTCTGTCACCTGCGACTATATCCGTCACCTGCGACTAACATCGCCCGCGACTGAAAAAAATAAAAAATCCGTCACCTGTGACCACCGCCACCCGCGACTATATCCGTCACCCGCGACTCTTGTCGCCTGTGACCACGAGTGTATCCGTCACCTTAGCGCGTACCCTAAACTCCAAACGTTTGTTTGTTTGTTTGTTTTTTTTTTTGCTAACTACGTCCACAACTGACCATGTGCACAGTGAACTCTTTCAATTTCAACCACGTCCAACCTCAAACTGACCCTGACCACGTCCAATTACGAAGTTGCATAACCCTAACCGTGTAGACGTCTACTATGTTCAATAGGATGCGGACCACGTCCAATTACAACTACGTAGTGAACTCTGCACAATTTATTACTTCTGCCTTGCAAGTCTTATAGGAATGTAAGTGCCTCTTACCATGTTCACAGCAGTAGCTCAGTGGTTAGAGCTTCGCATTCGCAGGCAGGAGGTTGTGTGTTCAAATCCCACCCAGTGCGTGAACTGCGCAGGTGATGACCTGCACCGCCCGTGCAATGTGCCTGCGCGTGTTGCTCGCAATGTGCCAACCTGCGCTGCCCGGAACCCGCGATGCCTCCTCCCGGCTCTCGCCCGCAACGCCAAGATGTTGATCTGCGGGGAATGTGCGCAGTGGGTGGGTGGGGGAGTGCTGACCGCCCCGCCCGTGTTGCTCGCAATGTGCCAACCTGCGTCGCCCGGAACCCGCGGTGCCTCCTCCCGGCTCTCGCCCGCAATGTGCATGCGCGTGTTGCTCGCAATGTGTCAACCTGCGCCGCACGGAACCCGCGATGCCTCCTCCCGGCTCTCGCACGCAACGCCAAGATGTTGATCTGCGGGGAATGTGCGCAGGGGGTGGGGAAGTGCTGACCGCCCCGCCGCTAAGATGATGATCTGCGAGGAATGTGCGAAGATGATGATCTGCGAGGAATGTGCGCAGGGGGCGGGGAAGACCCTGCGAAACCCTAGTCACAGGGGTGGCGGGCACGTTGTCCCGTAATGAAACACTAATATAAATACTCAAAACAAAAACTTCGAGAAAACTTCAAGAAAATAAAACTTCGAGGAAATTTCCAGAAACTGAAATTTCGAGAAAAACGAAACTGTAATGAAACCCTAATATAAATACTCAAAACAAAAACTTTGAGAAAACTTCAAGAAAATAAAACTTCGAGGAAATTTCCAGAAACTGAAATTTCGAGAAAAACGAAACTGAAACTTCGAGAAACGAAATTGAAACCTTAGTCACAGGGGTGGCGGCCGCCCCTTGTCCCTTAAGGAAACCCTAATATAAATACTGAAAACAAACACTTCGAGAAAAATTCAAGAAATTGAAACTGAAACTTCGAAAATAACTTCAAGAAATTAAAACTAACACTTCGAGGAAATTTCCTGCGAAACCCTAGTCAGAGGGGTGGCGGGCACGTTGTCCTATAATGAAACCCTAATATAAATACTCAAAACAAAAACTTCGAGAAAACTTCAAGAAAATAAAACTTCGAGGAAATTTCCAGAAACTGAAACTTCGAGGAAATTTCGAGAAAAACGAAACTAAAACTTCGAGAAACGAAACTGAAACCTTAGTCACAGGGGTGGCGGCCGCCCCTTGTCCCTCAAGGAAACCCTAATATAAATACTGAAAACAAACAATTCGAGAAAAATTTGAGAAATTTAAACTGAAACTTCGAGAATAACTTCAAGAAAATGAAACTAACACTTCGAGGAAATTTCCAGAAACCGAAACTTCGAGAAAAACGAACCTGAAATTTCGAGATAACTTCGAGAAATTGAAACTGAAACTTCGAGAACAACTTCAAGAAAATGAAACTAACACTTCGAGGAAATTTCCAGAAACCGAAACTTCGAGAAAAACGAACCTGAAATTTCGAGATAACTTCGAGAAACGAAACTGAAACTGAAACTTCAAGAAAATTCAAACTTGAAGAAAATTCACAACCGTCGTAAAATATCGGGAGCGTTAGAAACTCAAAATCATCTCAAAAAACCATCACTAAAGTGTAACCTAAGTTCTATTCTAACTGTTCGTTCTGATCTGACTGTCTGACTGTTCGTGAGAAAACCGTCAGCTGAAAATTGTCACTGAGAAAACCGTCAGCTGAAAACTGTCACTAAGAAAACCTTCAGCACACAACAAACTCACTATATATCTGAATCTAAAACCGGCTGTGATACCATTTGTTAACGAAAAATCAAGAATCATTCACAAGACATTCATATAACGTGGTTCACCCTCGAGGGCTACGTCCACGGCTGGAACACTAAGCAGGTTTACTGACAAGTGAATACACAATGTTTCGGCTACACTAAAAAAGCCTTAAAGAGTCCTTAGAACCAAAGAGGAGGGCGGGTCAAGCGGAGGCGCAGAAGTATATATGAGGGGGTAGTGATAAAAAAAAGTATAAGAATAAAGTATAAAAAAGTATAAGAATAAGTATAAGAAGTATAAGAATTCTCTAATATATAAAAAATATATTAAATTCATATTTTTTAAATAAATAATACATGAATAATATTAATATGAAGTAGAATTACTTCATAAATTAAGTAATACATGTTATAATTATACTCATTACGCTTAAATATATAATGTCGTCATACATTTAGAAGTTTTTTACATCAATAAATTTTATTTTAATAAATACTCTATTTCAAATTATTACATCATTTATTTAGATTAAATCGTATCAATAATTACAAACAATTCAATAATACGACATGAAAAATTTGTAGTTTAACTTGAAAGTTTTATGTTTTCACTTAGAAAAGCTATGTCCAAAACATACTTGGAGTTTTTGGATTTAAATATTAAATTGTATCATATAGTTTTTGATAATATACTATAAAGCAATAAATAATTTAATCTAACTAAAAAAATTTGTATTAATTAGAATTAGTCAAGATTGAGTTTTCAATCAAATCTAGAGTATTTAGGTTAATTAAACTCAAGTATTTTAAATAATTAACACATTAGACAATTACTTTGAATCAACTATATTATATTTAAATTTAATAAATATAAATTTTCATATAAAATTAATCTGGATATGATAAGAAGAAATAATAAAATTAAAAATTGATAAAATTTGCATAGCATTGTGTTATGTAAATGTGACTAGAAATCAATTTTTATTATTAAAGTTTAAATCTTTTGTTGATCCAAGAAATAAATGTGATGTCAAAACGCGATGCACAAAACATTTTGCACATTCTGTTGTTTCAAATGAAATTGACTTGATATGAATATTTTGTTTCAATATGCAAAATCATCATTGTATATAAAATCAAGATCATCATACAAAATTTATTACGATTAACAAAATCATTGTACATGCACATGTGCACATATTCCATATCTAGCTAGCTGCAACGGTCTAGGTACGGAATTCACGAAGAGTGCTGTCGTGGACGCCCACAACTCCGCGATGATAAGTAAAACCAAAAAAGAAAGTCACATCTACATTGAAAAATGTGGGTCTTATCTTCCCCATTGGCTTGCAGGGGAGTTCTCCCGTAAATCCCCGGAAGGTCCGCCGGTTTCTGACAGTGCCCCGACCTCGTTGAGCCATGCCTGTGCCAGTGCGCCCTATTCCTCTTGTCCAGGAGCTTGTTGAGTTCTTTCACCTTGATCTTGAGCTGCCATGCAAGCTCTAGTACCTTCATTTAATGAAATACTTTTTGTATGAACAGCTTTCCTTTGCTCGGGCTTTGGTCCGAAGCGGTTGAAGGAGACTTGAACGAGAAAGGCGACTTTCGTGCTCTTTATCAACACGTTAGATGGTACCACGGCGCTAAGTTCTTACTGAAGATCTAAGAGAGGGACGAAAAGGAACAATCTTGGACAATGGGTGAAATCCTGATCCGGCAGTGTGGCGTTTTGACGAGTCTATCAGTCCATCTTCCAAGACTGTGTAACAGGAGGTCGAAAGAGAGGAGATGTGCATCCTTTCCAGCTCGTAATGTTTTACATCGTAAGGAGTTTCTTTTCAAGGAGGGATTGGATAAAGAGAATTTTGAAGAAAAGAGCAATTTTTTCTCTCTTTCCTGATCGCCTGTTACACAGTTTTGGAAGATGGCCTGATAGACTCGTGGAAACGCCATGCATTTACGGGGTTCCATCTTCTAATACATCTTGTTAACCAGCATAATTTAGAAAAACTAGCCTAAAAATCCCATTAGATTTCCCTTTTTCCTGGCCGAAGTCAGGGAATATGAAACCTGGTGCGGATGAAGAAACTCTCGACGGTTTCTCCCCAAGCCTATCTTGAGAAGGTCGTCCGCTGAACCCCATCACCCCATGGGTTATCCCCCGACTCAACATAGTCTCTGCGTCCTACAATGAACTGCTGCGGGGGATTAAAATGTTAAAATTTATAGAAGTGGATTGATTAATCACATCAGAATTTTAGGTGAGCTTGGCTCTGTGTGCAGCAGTGCGTTGATTTATGGCAGACTCTGATTTCTATTAATGATTCAGTTAGACATTTCTCATTTTTCCACACCTTGACTTAGAATTTTTCTCCCTCTTTCACAAACAATATGCTAGTTACATAGGGAGTGAAGAGGAGTAAAAGGAAGATAAAAGGAGGAGAGAGAACCAAGAGTTGACCGGTCGCATCAAAGAGTTGGACCAGGCCAAATAAGTTATGTGGCGGGTGGAAGAGTTTGACAAGGCAGTAAGATAGTCATATGCTTTGGCAATGGCAAAGTTTTGAGCCTCTGGATAAACGTTCTTCACACAAACACGATGTGGGGATTCGATTTTGGAAAGTGCTTTTGCTTGTAGCAGAGTTGATTTGTGCGTGCTCTAACAAGTACTTTGGAAAGTAGAAAGATCATTACATAAGGAGCCGCTCTTTTAAAAGAGAGGCTGAAGTGTTTTGCATGAGTCTCGACAAACATGGGTTTCATGTGGCACCTCTCGAGACCTCCTGTTTTCGAACAAAACGTGGCCTTACAATTTGGTACTACAGGCAAGTCTTCGCTTATTGGTAAGCGAACATTTGATTCGTCGCGTCTTGTCTTCATCTGATGGTCACTTGTCTCTAAAGGGCCTGAATGTGTTTTGGGGTAATGAGCACTAAAAGTACAGAGCTCACTTGAACCAATGGATTGAACAGCAGTTGATACCGACATGGATCATTTGTGTTGACTTACTGCTTTAAAATATACATAGATGAAGACAAGGGACTGTGAGCAAGAACACATGAGGGCCCGTCATGTGGGGCAACAACGGTTAATTTTTTCTCAGTTGGAGTTTGTCGTTGTGAGGTAATTCATCAACTTTATGCAAGCTGGTCTATCTCTTTTCTAACCTCATTTCCCAGAGCATCTTTTTCTCACGTAGGAGCCACTATAGATCCGAAAGGATATTTTCACACGCAAAATTTACAGTGCTGGATTATTGGAACTCGAAATTCGTTCAAAATTTCACACTTTCCAACGAGTAATTATTTATGCATAAGACAATAAATTTTCATCTTTGTTTCATCAGATTCTGTTCCACTGTTCATTGAAATTCCATTCAATTGTCATAATCAGGCCTTTGTAGATTAGGCATATTCCTATTTGTGCATAATCCAAACATATTAGTTATATTAATGAAATCAGGCATATCATTTAAAAAAGAGACCCAAGATTGATATTGTATTGATTTTAATTCAATTTTATAGAGTAATGATTTAATTTCAGCAAAATATTATAGGAAAAGAATTTGAATCGAAACTTATTTTGTCAGATTCAACCAAAAATCCTCACAAAAATAAGACATAAAAAATTTTAGATCCAAATAAATTTCTCTCAACCCATTGTTCCTGATAGCTTAACGTGAATGTATCTATTTTTTTCCTATTTGTCCAAATCCGAAGTTCAGGACCTCGGCTCGATCCACTACAGAAACTATTCTGATATGTATCTTGCCTGTGTACAATCATCATTATTTGAATAGCTTTTACTTTCTTAGTCTCTATTAGTTAACATAACAGAGAGCATCTTAGCGAGGTTACTTACAATCACGAGAATGATTCTTGCATGTATGTTAATCAAGAATTCTCTTAGAAAAATATAATCTCAGTATTATTGCACAACATATCATACTGTTTACATTGGAGAAACATTTACAGAGAAAAATCAATCAGTGTCATGTTAAATATGTTCTTTTTAAATTTGAATATTGAGAAGTCACTCTCGACAAGCGTCATATTTGGAAACAATGAACCGAGTCTAACCGTTTGATCGTTTTGCTGTGTAACCATTTGGAAATTTTTCTTTCTATAATTACTCGAGAAATAATTTGAAGATTAGGCACTCAATAGATTAGAAATTAGTCATCTATTTTTATAATGCCTAATGTACATAGCCCCGGTCATCACTTAAGTTTTGCTCTGCGGTCCAGAATAGAGCTAGTAGTGCGCACAAGAGAGTCACTTTTGACAAAGGGAGAAGGCAGTCAGCTTTCATCCTGATTGGAATCAGCCTGACGCACTCTCGACCCATCGTACCCTGTCGCTTTTACTCAAGCTCACCGCGGGAAAGCTCATTCTGGCCTCATGACAGGGCTCTACTTTCCTTAACCTTCAGTAAGAACATCCATAAAATGACATGCATCATTTAATGGCTTCATGGTCGGACGACCTCAACCTCCTCATCTTTCACTGCATCATTTTCCTTTCCCACCAATATCCTTTGAGTGTTGCTTACGTGTTGCTTTTGTTCACGTCTGTACTTGGCAGCGGTGTTCTCGACAAACAAGGAGAAGAAATTGTTGTTTAGCTTTGTCTTCGATCTCCTACACTCTACAATCTGAACACCCCTATTCTCTTGATGTGCATAATTCTGTCCAAACCACTTATGCCAGTTACAAGCTCGATGTTTTCTCTATATGTGAATTAAAATAATAGTATAAGATTTATTACAGATCTCGAAGGGCTCAATTATAGTGCAAGAATGGAACTTTCTGCTGCAGTTTAGGACATCTTTGACTTGGTATTCAAAGTTTCAAAGTTCTGTTTGTTGGATAATAACCCATTGTAACCTCAAAACTTACCTACAGTCATATAAGAGCATATAAGAGCAAGAAAAACGAGGACGTATGAGCTTTCTTTGTTTTGTAGTTGTCTTCTCCTTTCAACACTAATATCTTTCAATCGTTGACAATTCTTTGAATTTTTAACTGGTTCTAAGATTAGGCCCGTGAGGACATATATTGTTTGTCTTTTCGATGTGGTATTCCCTTGTATTCGGAGGCTATAAGATGATAGATTTCAGAAACGTATGTGACCTCTTTGTTTTTACTTCGTATTTCAAACGTCCAGGAAGGGACATCGAAGCTAATCATACATTTTCAGGTATCCACACTCAAATTCTGCAATCAATCATTTCCAAATAATTTTTTGAAGATCGTTTTATACTTGTTTAGTGAATTTCGAGAGCTAATAAGCAACTGAGCTTTTTATATTACATTGATTTCGTGTATTTTGAAAGTGGACATTTTTTTTATCATGGCTGCCTATATATTTTATATGAACACTAGATGAATATTGTAACACTAATAACATTCATCTAGTATTTCTTTTCTCATATTTATTTACAGATGAAATTTTATTTCTGTCCTTGCATTTGGGAGAAAAAGATTACTCAATGGATTCAGTTATATCATGAATCTACTTGGTCTTTATATAATATAAAATACAGTGCCCAGAATCGAAGTCATATATTGCAGTAAATATGCCTTTGTCAACATGGTAATGAGGGTGAAGTAATAAAATCTGAAATTAATAGAAATTTGATCAATCTTACTTAACTTTAAAATAAAAAATGATTAGTAAAATTAGATGAAGGTAAATTTCTTAATATGTGATGTGAAGACATCTATCGCTTAGAAAAAATATATTTTTCACAGTAGTTTTTAATCAAGCATATCGTGATACTATGAAGCAGTCTTCCAGTTCTCCAAAATATATTTAATCTCACATATATTAACATGTTATAAACATTTTGAAAGAATATAAGAATCCAACTCACCAGCTTTGAGTGGAGGACTCATTTGATTGAGGATGTAATTCTTACATATCGATTAAAAGAAAAGTCAATATAATTAGAACAAATGTTCGTCTGTGTATCACAATACTATGGATAAGTGTGTTTTCAAAGTCCAGACAAGGCAGCCTGGCAATGCTCGGCTCTCACAAAACATCAGAGAGGACAACAAGGCTCGGGACTGGTCACTTCACAGTACCCTCACGGGGGAGAATCCAACCGAACTGTACCACGAAGACCACATGATATACTCATCGGAGGGGCGGGTTGGCTTTGGAGCCACAGACAAGAAAATAGTAAACAAATAAAGATGGAATCGTCGCTGGAGAATATTGGACATCGAACATGTTTTATTGCTTTACTGCATTAATTGACGGCGAGGCCGGACAGGCAGTCCAGATGAGAGAGAGAGAGAGAGTCGGCGCACGTATTACTGCGCAACTTGCGTCTAAACAATCGTCAGATTGCAGGCTCTACTCGTGGTCCTCGTTTAGTGCTTGTGAACTGATCAGAGTCCTTGTACTGAGGAGTGCCGATATCTCAAAAGGGAAAACTTCGAGCTGAGTTTCTGTCTCGGCTTCTTCTTCTTCTTCTTTGTGCCGGTCTCCGCCTGGAGCATTGTTCTTCCTCGATGCGATTGCTGCCTGGGAAGAGAACCAAGTCATGTTTCTAGTATTCTCACGGATCATCAGATGAGATTCGAAGCAGTTTGATGCAAAATTTGATCGTTCGGGCTTTCTGTCTTGATATTTAAATCACTGCCTGGATACCAGAAAGTGCAGGTTGCGTCGAGGGAGAGCGCTAAGATGACAGCAGGAACCGATGGAAAGAAACGGCCGAACATTCTCATGATACCCGTGTGCTTCATGGGGCACACACCTGCATTCGTACACCTGATTCATCAGGTCAGCTTGAAGTATGCCGGGGAAGCGACTGTCACGGTTCTCTCCTCCGTGGAGGTGACTTCCGAGGTGTCGGCGTTGCACAAGAAGGGGGTGTTCGGCAGCTTGGACATGCGCTTCGTCACGATGTTCACGCCGATTACAGACTGTGTGACAGACGATCCCAAACTTCCTCTTTATCTCGAAGCTGTCTGCAACAAGTGGAGACGAGAGTTTGAACCGTACAGACAGAATTATCTCGAGCAGAGACGGATGAACATCGAAACAGAGCTCGGCTCCCCCACGTGCATAATTTCAGATTGCTTCCTGCATTTTGCCAAGGCAAGTAGTCATCTCTCCATACAACCTCCGTCTATGCACTAAACGGAGAGATAGTCAAATCAAGAGTAGCTCTCTGAGCTCGAGCTCGAACTGCAGCTGCAGCTCCAGCTCCAGCTCCAGATGTTCACGGCCTTCGTCCGAGAGTTCTAATCTAGTGTGTATGTCTAAGTCAGAAGTGTTCTTCTTCTTTCATTGACGTGTCATCCTCTTCTTCCGTGATCTCGTAGACTGAGAGAGCTGGCTTGCTGACGGAAGAAAATCGATGCAAGGTCGTGCGCCTGCTCTTTCTGTATTGGCCACCTGTCTGTAAGCAGAACGAGAGTCAAAGCTCGTCGACCTCAGAAAGGACATTTTCCTCGATAAGTCCCGTTGCGAGCTAGTCATACGACCACCATCATGACGAACCCACTTGCTGGAAGCCGGTGTTTGTAGTTGTCACTTATCCGTAACATGAACTCGAGGAGGTCTGCAGATTAGTGTGCAAGTGAGGTTTTTTCATTGCAGGTTTACTCTACTCGATGAGGACTGCAGTCGTTGAGCCCGAAGACTGAATTTCAATGTCCGCCAGTAAACGACAACCAAAGCTAACGATACGGTTCTACTTTTCTGCATTTGTTCTCGGGCTGTTGGAAATTAATGCAGATTTCTGTCCTAAAAAATTCGGATTTTATCTAACGTGCTGTGAATCTTCGACGGTGTCCAGGACTTTGCCGACGACTTGGGAGTGATCTGGATTCCTTTGTACACTCTTCCCATGTGGCTTGGCCTCTCCTTCATATATGCACCGAAATTATATATCCAACCGAGGCACTCGCCCCAACCCATCGACCTTCCCGGGCTTGAAATGTTTCGACACTCCGACCCTCCTTACGAGGTATGGTGTGAGAAGGACTTCCTCTGGGAGCACAGGAAATATGTTGAACAAAGCGGAGGAATCATGGTAAACACCCCAGAATATATTGAGACAGAAGTTGGAGCTATAACAGAGTTCCGAGCCCACCTCCAACGTACCTCCACCTCTGGAAAGGTAAGACATTGGACACACCAAATTGAGCTTGAACTCGATCCGGATATGGAGGACGTCTCACTTTACTACTAAAATCTTGAAGACATCTGATTTAGTGGTATTGAGAGATTTCGCCTTATTTCTATGTAGGCCGGGAGCATGTGAGAGCCACATCTTTCGTTCAGTGCGCTGTGAAGACTAACAAGGTTGAGATGGGATTATCGTTCGGGTACGTGTCTGGTGCAGGTACCGGTGATCTACACAATGGGCCCGAGAAATGAAATTCCCGGGTTTGGTGTCGAGTACAGGTCGAAACTGTCGTCCTTCAGTGTCCAGGATCAGGAGTGTTTGAGGTGGTTGGATAAGCAGTCTGCCAAATCTGTCCTGTACATAGCGTTTGGAACCTTGGCAAACTTGAAGACAGACGAAGTTTCGGTCGTGGCTAGAGGACTCGAGGCCAGTGGAGCAAAATATCTCTGGAACCTGAAAATACCAGCCGGTTCTTCTCTCGAGGCGTGCCTGCCTGCGGGATTTCTTGAGCGAACTAGTGATCACGGCTTTCTTCTGACAGGCTGGGCACCACAGGTCAAGATTCTGCAGCACCCGTCCCTCGGTGGGTTCATGACTCATTGCGGATGGAACTCTACCACTGAGAGTCTTTGCTCCGGCATCCCCCTCATTGCAGCCCCTGTTTTCGCTGATCAATGCCTCAACGCAAGGTACGTCTCTGTCGACCGTAGTGCTTGCCATCCTTATGCTTCTACTCAATAGATCGCCTTCTCTTGACCCGCTTCTCTAATATGCTGATCACAGATCAGATTCAAAATATGTTCGAGAGTGCTGTAACTGCAGTTCTGAACAATAATCAATGCATTATCTGAGGCTGCAGGAACTCCACAGATTGTTGCAGTTCCTTGGCAATTAGTAACAATCATGGGAATCTCATTTGTTGTAGTAAGTGAGCTCTTCAATTGAACATGAGTAGGACCAAGTGACTCGTTTAGACCCAAACGTACAACTCTGTGGCTTTAAGTCTACGTGTGGACAGAAAACGAGATCCCCGGAGTAGAGGACTTGGTTCCTTCTACAGCTGAATCTGAACAGGGCTGCCATCTGTAGATCCACAGTAACATGACTCAGCATCCATTCCAAGGATGCAGGAAGACCGTGAAATAGTCCTAACTTGTTTTATTCACTCGCAGGGTGGTCACAGAGAAGCTGAATGTGGGCGTGGCACTTACACCGGGATACAAGCATGATGGCTACGAAATTTCCAGCACGGAGGTAGAAAAGGCCATCAAAACTCTGATGTTCGATGATATAGGGCGCGAGATCAGGAAGAACGCAGAGGAAGAGCAGAAGCGACTCTTGGCCACGATGGCGCCGGGTGGAACCACTTACGAAATGACGGAGGCCTTTCTGAAACTGATCACCACTGTGTAAACCATGTAGACAGATTTATTTGCACTGTACATACAGTCCTCAAGGGCTCCAAAAATGCAACAATTAGGCCGATTTCAGTACCTGGATAACTGGTAGACCTACCTCACTTACAGCAGAGAGATGTTTCCGGCTGAGAAGCTGTTCAGCTTCTCAGCTTCTCAGCTGCGTAGTTCTACATTAGAAGTGGAGATGTAAAGTTGTGACAATCTCCAGCTGCTGCTTGTAGCGAGTAATAAATATACAAGCACCCCAAAACAAACAAAAAAAATATAAAACACAGAGGGTGCTGCATATTTTCAAGCAAAATCACAAAAGCAGTCATTGATGTGCGAATTCATGTGCTTTTTGGAGTTACAATACGTAAAGTGCACCGTCTTGTGAATCACTATCAAAAAGCAATCAGAGCTGTATAGCAGTTGCAGTAGGTCTGAACATGTCCAAGGGTAAAAGGGACCAAATGAATCATTGGCCGTGCCGAGGCGAGAGTGACATCTCAAGTCAATGATCTGCCTCAGATCTCGTAGGCCGTACCTCGTCATGAGGCTGCGAATAATATGAACGGCCCAGGAGCTGCGCCAGCCTCGTCTTATTGAATCAATGCTCCCACATATTCGGAGAGGGGAATGATGATTATGATGATGGCTCTTGACGTCGTGCAGATTCTCTTCGACACCAATCAGTTCCCTGAAAGCTGGGGCCGCTGCAGTTGATTTACTGTCGGGTAAAGTCGCTTCGCAACTAACTGCCAGTCTGTCTCTTTCTGCCCAAACTTCACGTTCCTGTAATCGAGTTCAGAAATTGACATCCAATCACAGGCCTTGGGGTTCTTACCCCATTGTCATGCTATGATACACGTAAGAATAGACGAAGTTTAGCTCCAACCATTTTGTATTTTTGTGGTTTCGGGCATGTCAAGATATCATTAATATCTTGACTCAACTAAACCACTGTTGACAGTATGTTGACTCATAGAAGGTAAGAGGGGTCACATGGATATAAATATTTTGTAAAGACCACATCAATGTCCAATTAGGGTTAGGGGTTACTATTACAACTTGGTGTTTTTAGCTCAACATGTTAATAATTTTCACCTAAGTCATACGTATTCGTGCATTCTAAAGTAATTTAACTCTCAATATGTATTCCATCTATGGAGATAATAGATCTGACGGAACACAATCTGCTCGCACAGAAAGTGTTGTAACTTTTTTCATCAAAATCACATATTTTTCAATAAACTAAACCATTTTTCTTGACAATTCTCAACAAACATCAAATCATACCTGATTTGATGTTTGTTTACCTCCACAATGTATTCTGAGTATTTTTATTTGATTCTACAACTCATATGTTTGACTATTGTACATAACATCTTCAAATGAGAGATATACTTGTATGATGAAACAAATATTTCAAACTAACTTTAGATTTCACATCTCTTCATAATGAGATATGAAATTATATTCAGAAATCTTCATGACATTTTAGTGGAAGATTAAGAGCTCAAATTTTATTCCCTCTAGTCAATGAAGAATTAAACTTATCAATCAAAAAAAATATTACACCTGATCATTATCAATATTATAAAAATTATCATATAATGATCAAAACATAGGTAATTCAATAATTTCAATCATGAAATTCTTATAAATCATCATGATGAATGAATTATACACTACATATAAATTATTCAATTGTGTCAATATCTATTCAAAATATAATTTAATTTGACTTATGACGTTATTTATAATTTTTTTATTTTTTGAGATAAAGAAAATTCATTTTAATAAATTTAATCGAATTCGATTCCTTTGAAATTATTGAAAATTTATTTCAAAACATATTCTCAAAACGTATATGCATCACCAAAAAAATCTGTCTAATTTAAAGTACATTTATTTATATCCATAATTCTAAAAGTGTTAAAAGTGTTAGTATTGACTCTTGTCATCTGTTGGTTGTCAGCTGGTTTTGCGCTAGACCCAGATTAGAGTTCGGTTGAGTTCGATTTTGAGTACTAACGGCTGCAAGACCTACCTCAACTCCCTAAAAAATGTCTTTAAATTTTTTGACACTAAAACTCTAGTGTTTTCACTAACCAAAAAAATAATTTCTACAATAATATCTATGTGTTAATATAAAGTAAATTTAATTTCAAATTTTACAAAACATGCTTTATGAAATTTTCAGTGAAAATTTTTCTTAATAAATTGAAGTATTAAAACATTTGTATTTTATATCTATCTCAGTTTTAAAAATTTGGAAATATTTTTCCAATTTTAAAAGCTTTAATATATATATATGTAAATATAAATATAAATATATATATTCAATTTTATTTTATTTTTTTCTTCTATTTATATTATCTGAGTAAAATTTTTATTTTTTATTAAAATTTTTATTCATATCATGAATAAAAAATATATTTAATTTTTTTTAAATTAATTTATCTATTTAAAGCTTTTAGTTTGTAATAGAAGAAATCTTATATGAAAATTAACTCACTTCTATAAATCAATATTTACTTTAGTTGAAGATCGATAAGAATTAATGAAGCCGTAATGATATCATCTGAAGAAAAAATAAATTTAATATACTTAGTCTAATTTTTTTCACCAACATATTTCTCTTATAATATTAACTAAATAGAGCAAGCTTTGCAATAGAATTTAAACACTGATTTTTCAATAAGTCATGTTTAATCACAACTAATATTCATTTATCAGATAATCAAATTTAACCATTAAATATTATTTTAATTGTATTTAGGAATGCTAAATACTATCATATATATCATAATCACATTCATCAAATGACTTGATATATGTGCAACATCACTCTTCTATGTCAAAGATAAACCTATAACATGTAAATACATATTAAGACTTTGCCTTGTCATTTGAATCCTGTTGATTAATGATGCTGATGTAGATGTTGACTTAACACGATATTATTCATAGATATGACATTATATAAAGCATTTAATTTTAAACGATATGTCATATATTATCAATTTGTATCAAAGAATGCATCTTTCTTCGTATCACAGAATTCTAGAATTATAATCTAATAATATGATTATCCAGGAAAACTTATAAAATTGCATAGAAAGCATTTTTTGACTAGTAATTCATTTTATGATTTACGATAATTTGATAAAAAAATATTCTTTAAATGAAAAAAAAATTTGGGAGTTAAAATAGTAAAGTAAAAGATATTCATGATATCATCTCTCTTTTCTCATCTTACATTATATATGTATTATCAGGTATCAAGTGATTAATCTTCACGTATAAAAAAATTTAGTTCCCAGTTTAGCAGCTGAAATGAAAAGTTGGAAATTTTAAAATATACGATTATTCTTTTGAAACGTAATGTTCTAAGTATATTTTGATTAATCCCAATTCATTGATATAATCTTAATGTTGCATAGCAAAACACATCAATAGGATATAATTTTTTATGACTTAAATTGTCAAAAAAAATATCTTCAAGAAAAACTGTAATTTTTGTTAATATAAATTTAATTAATTAAATTTATTTTCAAATATTCAAGATTATATATTTATCTTATTGTTAACTTCATGATGCTAACAATTCATCAAATTCTATTTCATTCTCGGAATCATTATAGTTTTAAAATGTTGTACTTCTTATTATTTTATTTTCCTCCTTCTTCAAAATGATCACAGTTCAATATAAAACTTACAATTTCAACCAATTATGTTTACGAAAATGGATGCACAAATATTGAATTAACATACTTGAATTTTTACATTTGAAATCAGTCATCTTCATACTACGTATTAATTATCTATCATGCCATCGTTATAACTCTTACTTAAAACTGATCATTAAATTTAACCATTAGTGTCTTAACATCACTATAAATTCTATTTGCAGTAGATGTTAATTGCAATATCTATTTTGATTTTCAGATCTGCACTTGCATGCGCTGATCTTCCTTACAATGGATTGTATAAATATAAATTGTGAGTCACTGTTTACATCTACACTTGTTTTATACCGTTCAAACCGATCCATTCAGACAGCAAAGATATAAAATTGTCACTGATGAGGTGAGGAAATATCTTTACCAATTTTTTAGTAGAGACTATTTGGAATGATGTATCTACGGTAGCTTTATTAGCCCCTATACAACAATATATTTTCCCATCCGCAGAAAGCATTGGGGTAAAGCAAAATGCATATTAACTAGAAAGTATGCAGTACTTTCTTGTTTTGATTGACTGGACATAACACGAAACGTCTTCAATGGACAGAGGTCATTAAAACTCGCATTCGATTCTACTTTACTTTCATAAGTGCAAAGGTTGACCATTCACTACATGATAAGATCGAATGTACTTTCCACTTTTCGTTGTACCTCCTGACCAAACAATACTGGTGCACTAGTAGATATTACCAAGTTAATCCTAGAAAAAATCAGAGGTTTACATATTGTACAAGCAAGTGTTATTGTGCAGGTTCTGACGCCCAATGTAAATAAACTCCATCTTTTTGGTTTGCTCCCAAAGTGTGTTGAAGGTAAGATTTGTATATACCATGGTAAATTCCTCACCGAGGCACACTGTGCAGAACATTCTATGTATTTGACAGACTGTGAAGGGTATAAAACATTTCAGGTTTGTCGTCCAGTACTTGGAGTTGCAATCTATTAGTTATGAAATACCAATCTTGAACTGTATGATCTTAATTGAGAGTGCAAATGGAGGAAATATTAGCGTTGACATACATAACCAGGAAGAATGAAAATGGACAGTATCGATTTGAGCATAGAGTCACGCCTGATGTGCTTAACCATAATGAATCGCAATGACTGAAGAGCGACCAGTGGTGATGTCCAGTGTTTATCGATTTTATCTTGCTATGATCTTAGCCTCTCTCTCGTTTCTCTTACAGTAAAAGTGTCGAAGCATCTAGATTTATGGAAGTCAAGGTTCATCTGACTGTACTTGCCATACGCCATTATTTTCAAGAACTGCAAGCCTCGGTGTTAGGCTGTATAATATAAGGGGCGAGCACTTTCTTTCCACTAGTTCAGCTCAGCAAGATTTCTGCCTACAATTCCCAAAGCGCAAGTGTATTTATTGACAAGTGAAGTGTAGAGTAACCATGGGTAATCCTTTGTAGGACAAATTGTTTTTTCTATTTACCATTTCAGAGCTTTCAGATTATTTGGTGTGCTCTCTAGTGACTATATTTCTCTATATTTGACTACGGTCTGAACATTGTTTTCTGACTGTTGCTAGCGCAGGATTTTAATCACTTCCTTTCAATCATTAGCAGATGTAATTATATTGGAAACTAAGATTCTGGTAGAACGGGAGTTACCATTATTATTAAAATTGTTTGGCTCAATCATGCTGCACTTCATATCATATAGCATCTTAACCTTTACTCCGATGTTACCTAAACAATACTTTTTCTTTGAACTAGATATTGTGAGATCAACGTATGATAGATATAAGAAGTACCAATTATTTCCTTATTTTATTATTCCTTTCCAAATGAGTATCTTAGACCACTTAGCTAACTTGTTCATACTTTTGTGAGGATTATCAACACATTGAACATGTCATATAAGGATAAGATGTGACACATCATCTATAACATTATCATGATTATCATGATCATTACTCTTAATCTATTCATGATCTTTATTATGGATTTAGGCTATTATCACACTTTCATGTCTTTTCAATCAGATCATGATACAAGACAATAATATTACAATTTGATATCACTAAATAGCAAAAAAATGTATGAAAAATAATGATTAGGTCAAGATCTCATAAAAGAATTTACGTACACAAAAGGATTATTGAATATTTGAACACAATAAGTTGAATAACATACTAATATATGCATATTCATACTTATTTTAAATGAAAATTCTTAAAACATAACTTGTTATGATTTTAGCATATGATGATACATGTTTGATAACAAAATCAAAATCAAACACAAAAATTGATAGAAAAAATAGTGCTATTATGCAATTCATGACCCAGAATATACGTAAAAAAACAAAATGATATTTTGTTTCAAACTTTTAAATTTTTTATACTTGGTTTCTTCAATTTTTCTTCTATAGTAGCAAACTAACAAGTCTAACTAATTGGAATTTTAAAAATTTTTCCTTGATTGATGTCTAAATCCCTCTAATCTCTAACAATAATATTGTTAAATTTCACTTAGTGGCAAGTTGAAATTTTAGAAATTTGAAAATTTCAAATGACATGTTATCATTTCAACTTAACGACAATATAACTTCTAGAATGTTCAGGTATGAAAATGATATATTGCCATGGAATATTTTGTATGACGATTAATAATACATGCAAATATTCATGTTACTGAAATTAATTTGCATGTTTTCATCACTTATTATCATCATACATTTAAAAAAAAAAAAATCAAAGAATTAAATAAGACTCTCAAACAAGTTTGGAGTAGTATTTGAGTGATTATTTGTTCTAATAAAGAGTTCGTTATTTGAAGCATCTTGGAGTATTTTTTCAACTATACATAGATAAAGAGATTAAGTAAGAGTATGTGTAATTATGAACATGTAAAGAAAATATCAATATTTTAGATTCATGATAAGCAGCCAAAATTTCAATCACATATCGATTTTCTTGTCCATGGACTATGTACATCAGCTGCATCAGTTGCTTGGATGTTTGATTGAGGTACCTGCATTAGTAGTCTAAGTCTAACATTCAGCTTAATGTTTCCTAAATGAACATTTCAATTATCTGATTGTGGATATACAGATGTGAACTCAATGTTTTGAATTGCATTACTATCATCAAACATATCTGAGTTTTAATCTTCTATGATAGCTTCGTATCATGAAAGTCAGGTTTATTTATCATCTGAAATTAAACTGTTTTATCAAATATTTATTTATATATATTTTTCACGCATATATGACTAGCTCAAAATTTAATGATGTACATTTTTTTGTTACATCTTTCATACTCTTTGTTTTATTGTTTGGTATAGAATTTAGATTTACAATACGATCACATGACATCTAGACGGATATTATCATCTCTAGAATCTAAATAACCTGCAGATATAACTACTTTTTCATATGATTTCCTAATAATGGTCACATGATCATACAATTATGATACAATCATGTCTTGTTGTAAGTGAAGTAAAAGTTATATATCCTTATTATAGTTTGAATAAAGCCTAACATGAATGACAATTTTATTCAAGCAAAGTTATAAGTAAGTTGATATTAAGTTTGATACATTCAATTTTCAGTAGAAATTTTTAGTTTTTTCCTCTCATTCGGAAAGCAATACATATGACAACTGATGAATCACATGTAAGATTGTTATTATATGCGTGCATATAACAACATGGAATGGACTAGTTTTGTACATATCCATGTTTGAAGTGAGAGTAAGTGTTGATACATGTTTTGCAATCGAAAAGAATTTGAGAAGGTGGTAATAATTAAGATGTAGCATGTGCTCACATCAATTATCGCTCATTTCAAAAACATGGGTTGACATTATATTACGTCTTTCACATGTGATGTTTGCGATAGCTATATTCTCATACAGAGATAGTCTTCGTGCTGATTCAGGTTATGGTGTGTCTATTTTTGATGCATGGATTGGTTCAGAAGGATAATGTTCTAATGCCGCATGTAGTCAAACCCTTACTATACATGACATTTCCACAAAGAGTATTGATTATCTGTTTTGTAACAGGATATATAGATCAACACTTGTTTGTTCCTCTCGACCTATGGAACATTTATTTTTACAAGATTTACTAGCAGGGGAATTTATCTTTATACCATTGTCAAGAATTTTATTAAGTAGTGATCCGAGTTCGTTGGAAGACTGCACAACAAATGTAGGCTTTTGGAAGTAATTGGTATTATCTTCGCTTGTTTTCCCTTTCAGGAGTCCTTGACGTTACTAACAGAATAATAGAAGCATATTTCTACTAATCTCCGGCATATGGTATCCTTCGCACAGGATCTTTGGTCGTCAAGCACACAGAAAAGTTTCAGGGTTTTGGAAGATTCAGAGTTTTAGGAGCATAAGCATTACTTGTCAATCTTCTATGGCCGCGAACTTGGCCTTTGACACAGATTGACTACAAGCTTCTTCTGAGATACAGCAGAGTGTGACTCCAAAAACATGTCTTCCTCGCGTGCACTGCAGACATGGCTTTAGACATAGATTGACTTCGTTATGTAGAACAACCAATATAGAAGTACTTCACACTTCTAGGTTTCAGATCTCCAAAATTTTTAGGTTAAACTGCCAACGAAATGTAAAAGATGTAGTTATGTTTAACAGCTTCGTAGGCTCTTCTAATATCTTCTTGTTGTGAGAGCTGTCAAAGTTATTGAATGGATCAGGGTTCTTTTGTCAGAGGTACACGTCAGTTCAACAATGACAGTTGTCTCGTTTCATTTTCAACTCAACACTAAATAGATATATTTCTCTCTGGTATTCTCGACATATTTTCTTCCCACTCCATCAGCTTTGGACAATGTTCTCAAGAGTTGCTCAGGACAATCTATTAGAGGCGAGGAAGGGCTTCTTCTACCTGTGAAGATCTCTGCTCTTAAAAGATAAATTACATATAACATTAAAATATAACTCTTAAGATTACATATAACATACTACGTACTAGCCTATTCCTCCACTGCTCCTTGTATTGATTAAGAATGCTGAGTAATTTACTTTCTAAAGACGAGATTTCAGAAAAGAGATTATCGGCAAGGAAGGGATTCTAAGTAGGTTTGACAGACCCCTGAACAATGAAAGTCTCGAAGACCGGAATATAATTCTCAGGCAAAAATTGCACTTTGCGTATACACCACCCCAAGCAACAGAGTTCCTATGCATGTGGAAAAGAATCCAGACAAATATATCATCCAGAAAAACGGATTCAATAGTTCCTGAACAAACAATGTTTACATTAGCACGGGTAATACCATAGTGATGATACCATAGAGACTTGATTACAATTTGTTGGGTCGCGACTAGCTGGCGCTTCAAATAATTTCTTGTACTCAATTATAATGGGTCCACAATTGCAAAGCCTGACAGCCTTGCCTTCTATAGATCTACTAGCACGAGATCATCGCAGATCCAACTCATCAGATACACCAGCCAGGGAAAACTCTTAGAGCTCAAGATCGATGCTAGACATGGAGTCTTGTAGAGCCCTATGTACCGATTACGGTTGTTGGAAAATGGGTGAACACGGAGAGATAGCAAAATTCTTTCGAAGAACCATGATAAAAAGGAAGTCCCGTAAGCTTTACTATCAAATCGATGGCAACTCTGGACACCAAAAGTAGATGCAAAATCTACAGACGACGACCCCTGCGACCACCCTTCCTTCGGGTGCTGTCAGTAGGAATAGGCGTGACATCCTCTGCAGAGACAAAACAACGTTAGTGAACACTTCAGGCAGTGACCTAGATGCAGTGCGTGCGCATTCAAAAAAGGTAATATGAAGAACATTGGCGAAAGAAACTCACCAATGCGGCCAATCCTCATCCCTGAACGAGCCAGGGCACGGAGAGCAGATTGAGCGCCGGGACCTGGTGTTTTAGTTTTGTTTCCACCAGTGGCACGGAGCTTGATGTGAAGTGCAGTGATTCCTAGCTCCTGCAATTCGGAAACCAACACCCATGTCAGGGATACTCGAAATTGCTTCAATTGACTATGATGTAAGCAACATGTAGCAAGATTCCGCTCTTGGGCATAACATTACCATCACAGCTGACAGCCACATTAACGAAAGATTCAAACATACCGATAAGAAGTAAGTTAAAAGACACAAACAATAAGCACTATGCGTACCTTGCATCTTTGAGCAACATCCTGAGCAGCAAGCATAGCTGCGTAGGGAGAGGACTCATCACGATCCGCCTTCACTTTCATTCCACCGGTGACACGGCAGATGGTTTCCTTTCCTGACAGATCAGTCACGTGCTGCACATCGCATAAAATGCCCTCGGCAAAATATGTTATTTGAGTAACCAGGGTGAAGGTAATCAGATCAAAACGAGCGAAAGATGTAGAGGAGCTGGAGTCAGAAAACGACTTACAACAAAGGTGTCGTTGAAGGAGGCAAAGATATGGGCAACTCCGAATACATGCTCTCCTTCCCTCACGGTAGGACCCAAGGTGACATTCTCCTCCTTGACTTCTCTAACTTTCTTCTTTCCAGACTGTACATCAGAGAGACAATGGGTAAATCTCCAACTGTGAGGTGAGAATCGACCAACAATTTCACAACATCCAAGCACGGGCGCCTTGTGTGTAAGTCCAAGGAAGAATCCCATGAGTAGTGAAATTCAGCAACTAACTTTGGCTCATTCATCATATCAACGCTCCGATATTAAGCAAGACCAATCAGAGTTCCCGTGTGAAAAAATCCACCAGCTGGGCAATGGCTAGTATTGAGACACTCGCCCCCGGGGCAGTGACTACAACCTGCCTTTCCATTAAACAAAATTGACGAACCTAAATGCAATCTTGTTTCAACGCGATCAGGCTAACAATGACGGGCGTTTTCAATAACCATCCAAAATCATCTTCAAACACATATTGTCGAGACGTCCAACCCGAACCTTGTGCGAAAATTAATCGCTGGGTACAAAAAGCAGCTGAAATGTGCAAACTTCCTCGAATCGGTAACAGAAAAATCAAGCAAATCCACAGAGAACTTGACACCGTCGTGACAGCAATTCGACACTCACCATGATTGCCGACGAGAAATCTGCAGCGACGGCAGAGAGACGCGGCAGAGAGAAGAGAATCGGAGTTGAGCTTCGACTTTCGAAAAGGGATGGCACAGAGCTCGTTTCGAACCCTAAAACTTCTCTGGAAGGGGCTTCGTCTCACGGCTATGTTTAGCTGGACACTGCGTTTCCCTGTGCAGCTAAATTAGCTACGATTCACAGCCCAATTTGTTAGATCTACGCCCTCTTCTCCACTTAGCCCCTCCTCGTCTTTTTCTTTTACCAAAGCACTTAAACATGGACAAAAGCCGTGGACTACAGTGGTATTTCCAACCTGAAGCCACATTCATTATAAAATTCTTATGTTTGTATTTCAGTGTGATAAAGACGGGTTTAAATATAAATAGCAATCAAAGCGTAATTGTAAGAAAAAAATTTGTTGTTAAGAGTTTAGGGTTTGAGTTCAATATTATCACAGTGTTAAATATGACCAATTGGAGCATTTTATGTAGAGCCGACGCACCGAGGTCGATCGAGCGGCTGGACCTGGCGTTTGAGCAAGGGTTTGTTATTTTATAGACATTATGCATGATGTGATCTTATAATGGCACTATCATATGATTTATGCTTTACATATCTGTAAAAAATTTCAGGAACTTTATCTCATCAGTCATGTGGACTACATATGTACTACATGTAGATATATCCATCAAAGGATCTAAAATTGATATTCTTAATTTTGAATGTCAACCAAATCATCTATATGCATGTTTGTGTTTATATAAGACCTTGCAAAGTTTGATTCAAAGATCATGGATGTCTTAACCATACCCTACAAAATCTATTTGTGCATCTTATGTATAAACAAGTATATATGTTCGTTAATCTTTATAAAATCATGCATAACGACTTTTTAATCTCATTATCTTTTAGACATCCATGATGATTTATGTTGGTTGATACATCCATAACTTCAATATGTTGACATGAAGTTTAAATTTACCTCTAATGCAACAAGTGTCCATATGATATTGTCTGACCTTATGGCTTTTAAAGCTCAAGGCTGAAAGTAGCTAATTTTGTTGTAATTTCTGGAGAGGGTTTGTCTCAAGTAGAGAAATTATTGTTATGCTTTGGTAAGACAAACCTACACTTAAGTAAAGATGATCAAATTCAAGTCAAAATCAAAATCAAGTATATGGATACGTTGAGAAATTAGATCTGTCAACCTTAAATTTTAGTGTAAAATTTTCATTAACATTAAATTTGACATTTTTGTGAGATCCATCCAATTTTTTTAAGAGGATATTCTTTGCGTATAGTCCTTCTTACTAATTGAGTCTCAAGTATGTAAGGAATGATGGTGTACTCTTATCATTTGTTCAACATTTACATTGTAGTGCATTGTGAAATGATGGTCACAACTACGTTCCTTTGGTCACGCATAAACTAGTAATAGTATATGCATGAAGGTGCGAATTTTGTTGCAGATATGGTTGCACTCTACATTTTTTTTGCCTGAGAAGAAATTTTCCGCATTGCATTGAAATTATGATATACATTATATCCGTCGATAGATCATATTGTTGATAACCTGAAGTCTCCAAAATTAGTTTCCTCGTACGAATTTGAAACTAAGCTCACTCCGTCGTCCCCCGAAGCATGGAAATTACTTCGTGAAACCCGGAGGCCTGGAACTGGATTGGATCTGGACTAGGGCTTCATGTCTTGCAATCTGGACGGCGAGTCACATCAGGATTCATTGCCCCAAACCACTTCCCAGATCGATGGACACGAACACGAGAAAAAATCGTTTGATTGTATATGTTATGTTGTTCATGAGCAATGACTGATAATCAAATTTTTTTTTATAAAAGGGAAAGGAGAGGCAAATACATAATTGTACAAAAATGTCTCATTTTCCTGTTGCCATCATTCCTATTCTTTATCTTAGCGATGGTAATGGATTCGTGCTGGAGTAGGACTCGGGTATACAAGAGGAACAAGGAATCAATGAAAGGAAAGAAATCAATGAAGGGTTCAAAACTAAGAACAAGGAAATCAGATCTTATCAAACTTGCCCAAACACGATTCAAAGTTCTCAAACATCGTGCACCTTTTGAATTGTGAAATGAATTGATCACTAGACTCTCCAAAAACTTTAGGGTTTAAGGTGATCCATTCTCTCTACTTTTCACGTGTGACTTACAGTTTTCATCCATTCTTTCTTATCAATTCACTCACACTAGGCAGCTCGATCAGCTATAAATTGTGTACGAGCTCAATATAAATATGTCCCTGTTCCCAAAGAGTGATATATCTGCAGCGCTGCAGCTAGCGTAATGGATAGCCGCCTATATTTCAAGCCAATTGTTTCGCTTGAGAGAAGTTAAATTGGGTGATAACCAGACGCTCAGTTCGAAGGGAAAGGGTTCCTAAACCTTAACCGGGAAGCAGTCCCTTAGGTTCCTCGTTAGGGTTTAGGAACCCTTTCCTTCCCGTTTGACCAAATTCCAAGATGATCCAGACTGGACTTGTCGTACTAAAGCTTCCTCTTCCCTCTGAGTTACCATGTCTTTATTAAGTCACCGTTGCAGCCTTGCCATTACCTCATTACCACTCGGTATGTGAGAAGTAACTTTGTCTAGCAAATCACATGCTCCCTTTGGACTCCGTCTATGCAAGATACAATTTTAGCTATCTTAATATTTTTTTTTAACTATCTTTGGTTTTTTATTGCAGATTGTACTGTATATGTACGTTCAAGGATGCCATCTCTTGAATCTTAATTCTATCATTCATAAGGGTTTTTTTTTTACTCGCATCGATTAATATTTTTCGCATCACTGAGTTGTTCACGTATAGATATGGTTCATTTATTCAGATCTTGATTAGTCACACGAGAGAATGAATATGGTACTACTCTAGATGCCACTCCAACTCACATGATCAAATCATCATTTGATTGGCATCTTTTCCTTTTATTTCAAATTAGAAATAATCTTTTACGCATCAAGATCATTTTAATTATATTTTTATTCTATGATGAAAAAGAATATTTGTTGTCATCATAATTTCAAGTATATATATGTAAAATTTATAACAAGAGTTCATTATACATATAAAAATACATATAAATTTAATTCTCAAAGTCAATGGAGCTATTACAATGAAAACACTTTAGTTATAAATTTGCAGATTATCAAGTTTTTAAATGTTTAAAACAACCGGTAAATTTTAAGAGAAAAATTTGTTTGTTGATAGATTTGTTGATCTATCAACAAATCAAATAATCTATGTCACTTGAATGCTAGATGAAAGTGTGTTGATGCATGATGACATGTTTCACATTGGTGTCATGTTTTGAGAGCTCAATGTACCCTATTTTAGAATGTTCAATAAAAAAATCAATACGAATCCAATCATGAAGTTATGGTGACCATGGTCAAGAGCATGTTGTGTATCTGCGTGTGAGAGGCTTAAAATTTATAATGAGCGTTGCAAAAAGGGGTGACCAAACATCTCCAACTAACGGAGTATCAAGTGAACGATGGCGTATAATGGTTTTACACTTGAATCAACAGGAGCACAAAAACTGAGATGTAAATCTGTAGTACGATCTGCTATTGCTTTGCACCCTTCAAAAGACACGATCATGGGCATACCCAACTTCTGGCGCTGTTGAGTTATAGTTCATCCGACTGTCCAATCCGACGGTAGAATTTATGCTCGAGGGAACCTGGTGAGAAATTAGCAAAAATGACGGGAAGACCCCATCAAGCCAAAATAGGGATTAAACCCCACAGGTTCAGGTAGATGGATGGGAAATCGCTTGCCAACAACAACAATAGCGAGCTGAGGAACTCATAAGAATTGAGGAATCTTCTTTGCAAAATTGTTGTCAAATGTCGAGGCCCATACGCTAGACCTTCAGTCAATTCTTCGGTGAGAAAGGTTTGTAAATTGTCCTGTGAGGCGTTTCACTGGGTTTATGGTCGTTAGTTTATGGTCACAACACTGTCACCATCTGCACAATGTGTGGTCGAGACCATCTTTGGTGAACTGATTCGTCCAAATTTGACACAATTCCGAGCCAGGTGGAGCTGCGTGAAACGCCAGACAGACAGTGGGGTGACTTAAGCATGTACCTCTTAAACATTCCTGTATGTTACAGAATTGTGTTGTGAATTTTCTAGACTTTGCAGACAGCTGAACTCGTTCGAGCTCCGAGGTCGTACGAGTGTTGAGAACGAGCACTCGTTATGAAGTTTTGATCACTTTATTGGATTTTTATGTTCCTTATATATTCATCGTCTTCAGCCATTTTCTTCCAATTTGTCTGGAACTCGTCAATCTGGTATTGCTTCTCTGCTTTAGCCGCTGCTTTCTTGTCCTCCTGAACATCCAGCCCCCACAATCCAGCGTATTTCTGTCAGTTGTTAACTCCCGAAGAACTTTTCTGGCAGACATGCTCCGGACGTAACAGACGTAACTTGAGATCTACTTATAGCAAGCGTCTGTTCTTGCATCCTTGAAGAAAGGATCGATTGAACTGAACAACTGTTTATGGGAGCATGATTCATACTTGATCGTACTCTCTTCTGGTCAAAATCTAAGGCTTTCGGCATCAAATTTGGTGGCTTACAAGATAAGTAACCTCACTACCTTTGGCCAATTCTTATAGCTCCCGAGTAGGCCTAGATTTCCAGCTTTAGAAATTAAATGAGAAGGCCAAGAATTCTGAGCTTTAGATGATGAATTCTACTTACAGCGGTTTTTCTCTGAGAGCCAGCTAGAGTTTTATTATTTTGCAAAGTAGCCGCGAATTCAGCTTCATCCATCTCCTGGACTTCGAGAACGCGCTGCCATACTTGTGCAGCCTTTTCCTTTGCATCTTGTGCCTCCATGTCATCATGCATCTTCTTGAGCTTGATCTGCGTTAGTGCGCATACACGTTTGAAAGGTTCAGTAAGATGTGCATCTTACTTTCTAAAGAATGCCGACGACGGCCACCATTCACCAAGCAAGTACGGACGGTATTTGTTATGAAGACAAAGGAAGCATTCATTTCGTACCTGTTGCTGACGAGATCGGTCACATATATCCCAATTATGTTTCCTCCTTGCAGCGAAAATTTGCTCTCGCATATCTTCGGCGATTCTTTGCTCCTGCTCGGCTGTGGCCAAGCGTGTCTCAGAGTCGACCCTCGCAGCCAGCAAGTCCTGTGAGATGCGGGCAAACAATCTCAAAGGCTGTACTCGTGACAAAAGCTAATTGTCAGGCAGAACGTGCAAAGTATAGTATCAGCCTATAGGTCTCGTGTTTCATTTAGACGACCAGAAGAGAGCATCATTCAAATATTTAATTTCATAGTTCCACAAATAGATTAACATGTAGAAATTTCAATGCAGCGAACTATAGTAACAGACCATAGATGTGCATTGTAGCCCACAGGATTGCCTAGTTTAAACATGAGTGGATCCTGATGAAGGCATGTTGAGTGACAGGAGTTATATCAACAACTAACCCAGAAATTTAAAAAAAATCTTAGAATCGTGCTGTAAAGTTTTTCGTGGCGACAAAGAGATAGATAATTAGAGATCCTAACAGCCGACAACAAAGTGACAGTCTCACCGCTGCAAGTTTAGCTATCATGTTGTCTCTATGTTTGTTCTTCTCAGCTTGTATTCTGTCTCGCTCCGCCTTGTACGCTGCATCTCTTCTTTCCTTGTTGGCAACGTACTCTGCTATCTGTACGTCCAGTTGTTTCAATTTCGCTTTCTCTGCTGCTCTCGCAGCCTGCACAAGTTGATGAAGTTGAATTAGGCTTTAAAATATGATGATAGTGATGTGCGATGAAGGAAGCAATTTCAAGTGAACGACGCTATATCTCTTCGTTGCTCACGCGGATGGTACATTCGTCATTCTTTGCAACCATTCTGCGTCACTGTGAGAAAAAGGAGCTTTTTGTCTACGACCACTCCCTGTTTCCCGGACTCATCTAGAATTTGGACCATGTGGCGGCCGGCTCTGTAGACAATATGTCGATCGCTCTAGGACCACCGAGACGCCCCCGAAATGCTAGAATATGTCGTTGCCTGTCATCAGGGTAGCCGTGCAGTCTAGACTTTACTGTCAACCTTCTTTATGAATTTCTCCAGAGGAAAAACCTGACGTGCCAGTCTCCAGGACCTGAACTTGCATGCCCAATAGCAATTTAAACATAGAAAAAGGTGTGATGCGATGGCGAGTTCTACATTTAAGGCTACGTTCAGAGCTTGGAATTCTTTGTTCTGTTCGATGCGCCTTATTTCTTTCAGCCTTGCCTCCTCCTCTGCAGCCGCAAGATCGTCTGCAGCACGCTTCTTCAGACGTTCACCCTCTGCTTTCTTTGCATCTTTCTCTTTCTGGATTATAAGACGTCGATGTGCCAGCTGCTCATAAGAGGTAGAGCCAATAGTCCATCATAAGTAAACACGAACATCAGCAGGAGGAACACAAGTCTTCATATTTCAGGCCAAGAACATGCAATGTCAACTTCACACGCTGTCAAAAGACCTTGCAGTCAAGCAATAGCTCTCTCTTCAGGGCTTTATTCAACTTCGAAGCAAAAGAAATGGATCGACGATAGTCCTCAGGTAAAAAGTTCAGGTTGATACAGGAATCCAATATCTAGAAAGCAAGTGTTTTTAGAGTGTGGTTTTCAGTATGCATAAAAAATACTAAACCTGTTTCGCTTGATCTCTTTGAACCTCCAAACACTTATCCCTGCGCAACTGTTCGTCACGGTCATCCTCAGTTGTCCCCTTTTTCCAGTCTCTCATCAGCAGTTCGTGCCACCACTTATCTTTCTGCTTCCAAGCCTCGTCCATCTTGCGCTTGTATATTATTTGCTTCTCTCTCTCCTGCAGCAAAACTCCCACTCGTTGACGGGCACGTTCACTGTGCAAGAAGATTACAATTTGCGGGATAAACAGTGGTATCATGGACAAGCTAAATGCTTTTTGGAGAAGTACTATCAGCTTTCATACTTGCTCGATTATACAGTTCGATCTTACGTGACGAGATGATAGCATCAAGCCTTCAGCTCGAAACTCATCACAGTCAAGATCATGGATGACATGCAAATGGGACATCCAGACTACGACGCGCATTCTGTGGGTAGTCAGAGTCCGTGCTAGAACACTAATGAATTCAGGTTAATAACTTAACGTAAATTCGCGTGTGATTTACTCACTTTCATTATCTCCTCCATCAATGCTTTGAAGTGGAGCTCCTTGATGTGCGGCTTCAAGAGCTGCAAATTGGACTTCTCGAGCTGGCCCAACCGCAAACACCCATGACTTCAACTACTGGGACTTGCAAGGCTCTTCTGCACGGCAATGTATGCTTGTAAGCCCAACTAGCTAAAACTACTGAAAACTTCGTTGTCATATGCGAATCTAGAGGAGCAGTAGGCAGAATGTAAAGACTGCGGGCCTATGATGATGCTAGTGCTCGTCCAAGTGAGCCTTTGCGTCGACCCAAAATTAGCTGCGTGGAGTGAGATGCAACGAAGTTGAGATCCAGTAGAGGTGACCTAGTTTATGCTATAATACTACCCGTCTAAAGATCTCGTCTACTTGTCAGCAGGGCCTGAAGCTGTGTTATCAGGGTTCATTAAGAATCTTGCCAAATTCGTGGACCAGTGTTCAAGCCAACTAAGGGTATTGAGAATCAAACCTGCTCCCTCCTCCTCTGAGCCCTGAATGCTGCATCTATGACATCCTGCTTTCTCTTTTCTTCCTGCAATTGTTGAAACAGAAAAACCATAGTCATGCACCGAAAAATCTCTCGTATCAAGGAGACCTGAAAGAAAAGCAGAACCAGTTATTATTTTATCATCTACCCCTCCACTTTGAAAAGGGACTTGAGAAGAAAGCTGACTGTGACAACGTCCTCAAGAGGACTTTCAGCAATCATGAAAATCGATGTCAGGGGTTTCAGGTTCTGGATATATTTGAATGTAGATGGAAGCAACTGTCTTTGGGTATCACAGTGGTAAGATTTGTGGCCTAATCTAAAGCGAGGCACTTCGCGGGATTCAACAGGTTCAGGGGTAACGGCCCACTTGCATGAAGTCTGTGTGCATGTGCCTGCCAAAATATTTATAACGACTGTAGATGGAGACTACGAGCATCCGAGATTCGTCCCGCATCTAGGTGCAAACCTAAAATCCTGCTGGAATTACTCCGATGAGAGATTGCCGCACAGCAGCAACTCTATGAATGATGGTGCACAGGTGCCCGCGTGCCAGATTCAGTACTTGAGATATACATCAGCTGATCCCAATCCAGAATTCAAAGATTCCTCAAGTAGTCACTCAGTTCTTGTCCAAGGTTACTGGATGAAGATGAAGTACCTCCTCTTTCTCAAGCCTTTTCTTCACGTTCTTTATCCGAATTTCCCTTAAGTTCTTCAGTGTATTAGGCCACTTTTTTATTCTCTCGTCGGACAATGCCTTCAGCTCTTCTTTCTGCAAGAGTTAAGCGGTTGTGATAAGTTCCCCTGGCAAGGTCCTGCTCGTTTGCACTGCCCTGATGCTGATAAATCCGCGCACCAACAATCAAGCCGAAACGAACGACGAGGAACAATCATACAATACGCTTCTCCAAATGGCGCATGAGCTACGTACTTATGGGCAAGCTGATTCATTGTATTAATGATGCAAACGTGAGAGTCAGTACTGAGTCATTATCCAATACAAATTAGAAACGGAATTTCATGGCTCGTTGACCTTTCTCATGAATTTTTCGACCCTGTCGTTGCGAGGTTTCATCCCCGCCACTCGCCGGTACTCATCGGCGGTGATCTCAGTGCAGTGACAAGGGTGAATAAACTGCCCATCGTCCATCATGACGGCCTTCTCTTCTGCTCGTCTTCAAAATCTACACTCGGGGCTCGGCTTCGACTAGTCAGTCAATCAATCACTCGATTGATTCGCTTCCAATCCCGAAATGGTGGATGCAGTGAGGATTACTGCACCCACCCTAACTTCCTGCATTCTCCCACTCTCTCGCTGGAACGGCACCTTCCAAGACAGCGTACTGAACAGAGCTTACTCATGCTCTTGCTCATCTGCTCGAATGCCAGTTGTCAATCCGCGAGAGTATTCAGCCCTCGAGAGGAGAGAGAGAGTGCGCGAGGCCAGCAGTACTTCCCGAATTCAGGCAAAGAGGGTCCTCCCGAATCCCCAACATGGATCTGATCACATCTGCACGGCATGGCATGGCATGGCCTGCACACAGACAAGTTCTTTTTCCATTGTAAGACATTCTTTCTCTTCCGTCTCGGTTCTGTCTCCTGGTCCCCGTTCTGCTCTCTAGGGATGGCGCTCTTGTTCACGCGAAGACAGGCCGTTGGAGATGAATGCTGTGAGGGCGGCAGGTAGCAACGAAAGGTTAGGTTGATGTAACGAATTATGACGTTTCGATGAGTGTGTACAGCATCTGCAGCACGGCTCTCAACCGAACCCCACACTCATGCCGTCGCTGCCGTTTGAATAAGCGAAGAAAACCTTCTCCTGATGTGAACCTCGAAAAACAAACCCGGATTTAGCATTCCACGCTGACAACATGAAAGCAGTGCTATAAGTCTCTTCACCTGGTTCGGCCGAAACGAACTTCGAGATCCGTAACCAGTTGTTTAGTTTCCTTCACGTATCCGAATTGCATGATGTTTCGCATGAACCTACCCTCGCTCAGGCAACAGTGATCTGGAAGATCCTACCATAGCATGACGCTCATCATTCGAACATATTTATCTTTTCTGCCCTACAGAGGAGAAACGAAATGTGCGCAGGTGGTGATGTATAGTTCCCTAAACCCTCGGGAAAAGGGATCTTTCGCCACCGCGTTAACGTCAAGCATGAGACGGCTTTTCAAAAGAGGTACACAAATCTTTTCCTCCCCTCAAATCCCGCCTTATGCCTCACGCCTTAAACCGATTCTACTACTCCTTGGCAAAAACAAAATCTTGGGCCTGCCGGACCATACGGAAATCACTGGACGGGCAAGTGCAACAACCAACGAGACCAGACCCAGCGAATGTTCGACTTCAGATGTTGAGCGTACTGGAATTGAAAACTGTCAAAATAAGGACAAAGTCACGTGAGAAGCTTGGACTTGGTGCTTAATGTGACCATGGAACAAGATCTCTCGAAATCTACTGCCAAAGGTTTTTAATCGTGTGGGAGATCCAAGCCAATATTTTCAGCCATTTTTTAACGGCCCGCCGTTTGATCTCCAGGCAAAGCTGAGTTGGATCACCAAGAGATCAGCTGCTGTGTGCACGGAGGGCAAGGCACAACAAATATGGTGTACGTTAGAAACAAAATTTGTGGACATTCCAAGGGCCTGAAACACGTCCCAATGACCTTCATCGCCTAGCAGCGTAGGCAGGTCGGTGGAATCGAGAGGAACATTTTGCCGCTGGATACAAAGGCCCTTGCTACAATTCAAACTCTGTAGAAGACATTCCAAACCTGGCATCGAGAAGTGAAGGTCCATGTCTGGGTCCGAGTCCACGGCCCGGAATCAGGAAGGGTTCATCTAAATTTGCATGATTCAGCAGGAGGAGACCAAAGACCATCAAGAAACTGGCTCATAGCGGGTTATTTTGAGGATTTCGACAATATTTATTCTATTATCGCCATGAAATTCCGTGGCTTGCACGAAGTGCCATACGATGGTTGGGATTTTTGGGTCGGATGGTCGCCTTCAATTCCACGCATCTCGGCCCAGTAACAATATTGAGACTGTCGATGCGAACCGCTGGAAAAGCTTGGTCCTTGGCTCTCGGACGGTGCTGGGTGTCACCATCGCCGCTGGCATTCCATGTCCATCAGAGTGCAGCCTGGGCGAGCAGTCAATCCCGACATACCCGCCCATCCAAATCCAGCACCGCTCCCAATGACATAAATCCACCGCCCTGGACACCGAAGTAAAATGTCGAACTTTTTCCAAATGCAGGGATAGAGATTTCTTTCAAGGATCGGAGGACAAGAGTAACAGGGAAGCAGCCTTCCCCAACAGCCCGTTGAAACATCTAGAAGCCAGACCCTACACCATTGTGATGTGACAGCGAGCAATTGCTAGTATTCTAGGCCTATGTAACGCAGTTCTTAGCCCAGGATTGATGTGATGGTGAGTCCTTGGAAGGAAGGTGCGTTACTTGAAGAAGAAATTATGTTCCATTTGGTATCTCAACATGCTTTGGTAGCTTCATGAATGGGGTCTTGGATAGTTAGACATTCTCTTGTCACTATAATGATGTTCATGCACCAGATTCTCATGTTTAGGATCTCTCACACAAGCTCACGTCAAACTCATATGAGATGGGTTCGTTGATTGGTACGCATATGGAGACAACAAGTTGACATTCTTGCATGTGCACTTGACAAATATCTGAGGAAAGGTAGATCGATAGCAACATATCAATGATACCTTAAATTGGATTGGGGTGGTAGGGTCGGAGTGGACTTGGGTCTGACATCTAATCTATTGGAGTATATGATGATGACTCCATGCCTTTACCGGTTAAGACAAGATAGAGGATTATTTCGGATCAGCCAGAGGAGTCCTTCAGGGTAGAGGCCTATATGCTTTTCACATATAGGTTCTTGAAATGGAGGTTTTTTTGATGTTACGAATATGGAAAACAGGTTTACATGTTACAGTATAACTAAACATGATAATTATGCAAAGAACCGGAGCTCTATACTAGAGCAGGAAGTGGTCATAGAGAACTAGCCCTTAGTCTAGTACCAAGCAAAATCTATCCATACGTGAAACTTGGTCTTACAATAAAAGTGGAAGGATATCAATTGGAGAACTTTTCCTTCACATAATTTACTTTCATTTTTGTCTGCGCATGCAAGTTGAATATCAAATCATGATTTTTAACATGGTGGGTAGGTATGATGAGAGAATTGAGATTACAAAGTTGAATTTTTTTCAAAAGAAAATTCAACTTGATTACAGGACTTGATGCACCACTTAACCATAAGTATTTCAATTGTAACATTGTATATCATTTAAAAATATATATACAAACTCTGAAAATAAAAGATACCTCAACTGTGTATGTATGTATATATATTCAACACATAGATGGAGATAAGATTTGTGAATCTATAACATGAAGAATAATCCTTCACAAGCACACACATGGGGATGTGTCAAATCTTTATCTAATAAACACAGGGACTGTTGATGTGTCGCTTTCAATCAATAAATCTGTACTTATAAACTATAAATATTACTGATATTGAAATTATCTATCATTTATTACAAATCAATTTCATTTCTATTTTGAATAAACTCTAATTTAATTTTAATTAACCAAAGATGGTCACAACAACTCAAGTAATACAATTTATAGTTTAATTATACTCAACAACTTGTTGAGCTTTGTATATGATAAAATATGTTATCATGTAACTTTATTGAAATTAAATTTTTCAAAATAAAAATATCCTTTGATTTACATGGATGAAGAATGCATTTCTTTTGAATCTATTTGGCTATTTCATATGTCATCAACTAGATTATTTAATAATGATGAGAATACAATTGAATCTGACTGTCGTAATGGCATTATTATCCACTTTCAAATATTTTGACATAATTCATTAAATTTGAGTCAACTTTTGAAGTAATGGATGTTTTTCCGCCATATCTTAAAAAGTGATAAATTTTATATATCCAAGGAGTTTGTTAAGTTCATGAATTCCATGCTTGATAAAACAAATATGAATGTTAAGTTAAGCAAGAAAATATTTTACCTCAAAAGTTTTTTTATCCATCGTAAGCAATTACAAGACCTGGAGTTTAATTTGTCATGTCATACTAGTTTATGTGAAGATCACATCCATTTTGTATAATATGCTAAAATCTAAGACACCTTGTAATACACAATAATACCATCAAGCAAACGATGACTCACCATCTCAATGTTAGCACAACCAGAAGTAAATGAGCTTTTGAGCGTTGTGTGACTTTACAAGAAATTTTGACTTAACGTGATAGATAAATAACTGATAATTTAAGTAAGAATTATAATGCTTTGCAATGATGGCTTGACGATCTTAGTGAGTTGACTTAGCGTGATAGATAAATAACTGAGAATACAAATAAGAATCATAATGTTTTGCGATGATGGCTTGACATTCTTAGTGAGTTGTTTAACAATATCTACTGTTTGAAGAAAATGTCATTCTACATCATACCAGATGTAGTGATAATCTTCACTGTTAAGTATTAGATTATTTATTAACTTTTCACATAGATGCCATTTGAGTTATAAAGTTTGATGTTTAATTGTGGTGAAAAAAAAGTCAAAAACTTTATATTTAGCATTGTCAAACAGAATCCATATACAATAATCTATGGTGAAGGATAAATGTAACGGCTCTTTGTAAGTGGTTTATTTCCATCCCATGCCTACTGTGATGCTTTGAACTCTTGTCCCATTGACAGTCCAAAAGTTCTACCACTAGTATTTCGAGCCAAATCGTTTATGAGATATTCTAATTTCACTTGACCTGCTGGACAAATCAGGATTAGTGGCAATCTTATCTAGGAGAAAATGAGAAGGATTGCTGCCGGACTCATACAAGCAGCTGATTCTCTAAGATCTGAGATAGAGATGTATAGAGTCCATAGCACATAGATAGATAGATATACACAGATGTGGAGGGTCAAACAGAGAGAAAATGAAATGAACAAGAGAGTGGATGGATTTTGAAATCATAGACATACCATCGGGTTTGAACGGCCCTTGAAGGCAAAGTGACATTAATATGACAGTTGGAAGAATGTGACAACTTTCGTTCACCTGATGGTGACCTAGAAGCCTCCCGAAAGCAGTTTTCAGCTTTCAGAATCTTCGGGGAATCTTGTGTTTTCAGAGAATGGTTTGTCTCTGGCATAGACGGGAAAAAGGGAGTACAATTGCATCTGCATTGACGTCACACATTCCAACAACAGAAAGTTTGACCGAGAACTCGCAACCTGGAAGGGATAGAACGGATTCCCCACACACACATCACATCTGTCCGACTATGTGTATTAGAAAACTGAGAACTTTGGTTCGCAAATTTTCTCTTTCTCGCAAATAAACTCTACAAAAAGCCTGAAAACCAAACTACGGATGGCAGGGTTTGCGAAAGGCACATACAGCTAAGTTCTGTCGACAAGACCCTCCTCACATAGTACAGAGAGTGTGCGGACATGAACCAGAATACAATCTCCGGAGTTCACGCAACCCACACTTGTCACCCATATCTGCCCTAAATACATGCACTCAAAACATTTGCTACGTGTATCTTTTGCAAAAACATTGAGAGTAGAGACGAAAATGCAGAAATCAAAGTGGCTGAAGCATTCGGTATGAAAGCTTGATCGGTATCTTTCCAATTTACAAAGAACACGCATGAGGACAAATTTGCCCACCTCAAAGACACCTTCCAGGAACCTTGAATGAATGGCATACCTATATTCAAGTCCCCCCGCTGACAGTATGAGACTATCCAACATGGATCTTGACCACAATGGCAACTGGATCTGTACAAGGACGCCGCTTCTCCTGCTGGATGAACAACCAAACGTGTAGAGCCATATCTGTACAAGTGCCATTGCTTGCTACAAAACTGAACATTTGAAGGCAAAATCAAAACCCCTCAGGGTCGGCTTCTCTCGCTGTGGCCACAGGCCGAAACTCAGCATTTCTTCGGCTCCAGCCTCAGGAACAATAATTGCTTCATATCACAAGTATATTTCGTCTTATGAGCCAGTGAGCGGGCTCAAACTGAAGTATGCACATGTGGAACGGTTCACTGACTAACAACCAGGGAGTCTAGTATCGGGTACTAACATTCAAAGCTGAACCCGCTTTTTGTTTGGGGCACAGAACAGAAATCCACTCAAAACCAAACGAGCCTAGACCAGCGAATGAATAGGGATTGATCTGGATCTAGACTCTCCATTCCACCTGCTCCCAGACCTACTACTAATGTTGCTGCTGCTGCTGCTGCTTCATTGCGATGAGGAGGCGGAAGGCCGGCTGAGATTCCTGGCACACTCTCCGGTCTGCTAAACCTGGCGACATGGCAGGCACTCGGGGCTGCTGATCTCTGTTGTCGTTCTTGAGACGCGCACATACACTATGTTTTTGCTTGCTGACAAGTTTTCTGATTGGTTGAACAGTCGTGGTGTCGATAAAAATTTCTCGAGTAAGATAAGATACAGGGAACCCTTTAACAATCGGCACTGGGTTCGTCAAACAAAATGAAAAACTTGTAGATAAAGACCTAACGCTAACAGGTTCAGTGCTAAATTGCTACCGCCTTCTCCATCTCTCCCTTCCCGTCTTCATTGGTCCGTGGCTTTTGCTTCCTTCCTTCTCTCATGCGTTCATTCAAATGCATCTTCTGCCCACTCAAAACGGTCGTCTTCACATCAATCCGTTTCACAATGATTGATTCCACAATGATACACCATTCGACAATGCTGCTGCTGATGATGATGATGGTCATGATGATGATTGTGGCGGTGGTGGTGATGATGATGCTGAATGAGGTTAGGTGATCAATCGACCGATCCATCGATCCGTCGATCGATCATCCTTCTTCCTTGGCCGCTTCCTCCTTGCGTATTCTCTCCTCCTCCTCCTTATTGTATATGGCATTCAGCTGTCGCTCCAGCTGCACGTTTCTCAACTTGACCACCTGGAGCTCGTCCACGAGGCTGGCAACTCGGCTCTGAAGGCCGGAGACCTGGTCCAGGAGGTCCCGCTCCTTCTCGGTGGAAACGTCAAGGGACGCCTCGGAGGTGGAAATGCTCAGGCTATTGGAACTACTCATGAAGGATTTGGATCCCATGTGACTGAGACGAGAGGCACCAGTCGCCGGCGGTGGGGGGTCTCCCGCTACAGTCATGCTATTAATCAGGTTTAGAACGAGCTCCTGTTGCGAGACACAGTGATGCAGCAGGTTCTGCAAGTGCGGGAAGATGGCAGCAACTGGGACAGTGACTGCAGAGTTAGTGGAGAGCTGAGACAGAGCGGGGGAATGCAGCACTGATTGTAAAGAATGTTTCCTGTCTGAAGACCAAGTACCAGCACTGACGGACTTGTGCGTGGGAGATTGGGAAGCCGAGGAGGTGTGAGGAGCCTGCGAGTACTTCCTCTCCCTCTCTGAGGCCCAGTCACCCACACTGGCGGACTTGTGCAACGACAGACTCTGCGCATTCAGGCCCCTCCGCAACGGAGCCGCTGCGGCCTGCGGAACATCATCCGGGCTACCATCATCTGAAGTTACGGAGAACCTACCTTTTTTCTGCACAAAGGTGCCCTTCAGCTTCTCATCGGGCACGTCCTTACTGCCGCCCCCGCCGCTGCCGCACATCACCGGCATGCTCATGCTCGAGATGCGCTCGCGGTCCCGGAACACGTTGATGCGCGGCAGCTCCTCGCCGCCGCGCGCGCCCTCGCGCCCGTCGTCGCGGCTCTTGAAGCTGCCCCCGCCCCCGCCGTCGCGCTCCCAGTCCGGCTCGTCGCTGCGCCGCGACTGGTCGCGGTCCTCGCCGGCCCGTACGCGCGAGTCGTCGTGCCACTCGGCGCGGTCCAGATCCAGCGCGTCCTCCACCTCGAAGCGGCCCACGCTGTGGCGCTGTGACGAGTCCTTGCGGCCCAGGTTGGGCCCGGGCCCGGGCTTGCCCCCATTGGAGGCCTTGGCCACCTGCGCCCCGCTGGGCAGCGGCCCCGAGCGCGCCCGCGGCACGCGCTCCGGGGGAGGCCCCGAGTCGGCACGGGGCGAGTAGAGCGGGCCCGACGCGGGCAGGAAGTCGCGCGTGTCGGAGGGCAGCGACCAGCCGCTCTGCGAGTCGGAGCCCGCGTCGCGGCCGTCCTCGCTGCTGCTGTCCTTGGGGCGGCTGCGGGGCGAGTCGGCGGCCAGGTCCTTGGAGGAGGGCTGGGTCGCGTCCTCGTCGTCGAGGAGCGCGGCCTGCGCCTTGAGGTCCTCGACGTTGAAGTTCCAGCTGCTGACGCCGCGCTTGTACTCGTTCTGCGACCGCTCCTCCTGCTCGCCGTAGGGCATCTTCTTCTGCGCCAGGCGCGCGGCGTCCTTGGCCTTGAGGTTCTTCACGCGCTCGCCGAGCGGCGGCAGGCCGTCGAGCACATGGCGCGCGATGTACTCGAAGGTCTTGGCGTGCTTGAAGAAGGAGTGCTTGAGCAGCTTCTCGGCGGACGGGCGCTTGGCCGGGTCCTTCACCAGGCACATGGCGATCATCTCCTTGAAGGCCTTGGAGAAGCGCTTGTCGCGCTCGTAGTCCAGGCCCGGCGGCGCGTTCTGCAGCGTCATGAGCAGCACCTTCATGGGCGGGTACTTGCTGAAGGGCGCGTGCCCGTGCGCCAGCTCCAGCGCCGTGATGCCGAAGCTCCAGATGTCGGCCTTGAAGTCGTAGCCGTGCAGCTGCTCCATGACCTCGGGCGCCATCCAGCACGGCGTGCCCACGAAGGTGTTGCGCGACCGCTGCCGATCGCCCGTGTCGAACATGCAGGCCGAGACGCCGAAATCGCCCAGCTTCACCTGCCCGTTCGAGTCGACCAAGATGTTGCCGGCCTTGACGTCGCGGTGGATGTGGCCATGGCGGTGTAGGTAGTCCAGCGCCTTGAGCACCTCCTTGAGCACGGTGGCGATGACGGGCTCCTCGAAGCCGTCCGAGAAGGCGCTCTTCATGATGTGCAGGCACGAGCCCCCGGCCATGTAGGGCATCACCACCCACAGGCTCCGGTCCACCACGAACGAGCAGTAGGCCTTGACCACATTCGGGTGCGCGATGAGGCTCATCATCTGCGCCTCCTTGCGGATTTCGTCCAAGTTGCTGATGCATTTCTCCAGATCCAGGCTCTTGATCGCCACCGTCTCGTTGAATGGCGTGCACTGAGCTCGGTACACTGTGGCGCTCACTCCCTGCCCTACCTCCTCCAGAATCTTGTAATCCGCAGCTGTCACGGGGTAGCTTCGCCGCTCATCCCCGCCTCCTGCGCCTGCGCCCTTCGGCGCATCCATCGCTGCTGCTGCTCCTGCTGCCTCTGCCTGTGCCTGCCTGCTGGTGGCGGTGGTGCCGCCCAAGCCCTAGACGGGGCGCGCCCGGGCCCTAGTAGGAACGAGCGGAATCGAGAGAGGGAAAACAAGAGCGTCCACGGGGCGACCGACGCGGATGTCAATTGCCGCCGCATCTCGCCAAAAGCTCGGATGAAGAAATTCTCGACGAAGCTTCGCTGCACCTATTAGACCCGCAATCTCCCTCTCTATCCATCGCTCCAGCCGACGACGATGGCGATGATGACGACGACGAGGATGAAGATGAAGACGACGACGAAGGCAATCCACAACACAACAACGACGACGAGGATGAGGGCGACGACTGAAGACCGACGACGACTACTGCACCACCACCGACCCCTCTATGACTCATTTCACAGAGCCCAAAATCTTCCCTCATGCAACACTCTGACTACTTGAACGACTGCCTCCTCTGCTGCTCCTGCTCCCGTCGCCGATGCGGTGATGGTGAAGGCGCCCTTCGCTCCTTCCTACGTCCCTGCCTGCCTCTTGCCTCCTGCCTCGCTCCCTCGCTTCCCGTCTCACTAATGAGAAGCAACCGGACGCAACAACAACATCATCAACAAAACAACGCCCACGAGGGCGGTATCAGAATCAACTCCTCCCCCTGTAGCCTTCCTTCCTGTGTAACAAAAAAGCGTTCGTCTGTTTCTCGTTCTTCCTCCTTCTTTGACAGTAGCCGATCAGTGCGCTTCGGTTGTTCGGTGCAACGAGCAAGGATTTGTCACATACCCGTGAGACAGAACACATTTCCCCGCTGCGCTCCTCCCCTTGCTCCTCCTCGCCTCGCAACACCCCCCTTTTGGGATAGATTGGATCAGCAAGATAGACAGACACAAAGAGCGACAGGGCGAAAATGAATGAATAAAGTGACGGAGATCCTGATCATAATGGTCCTGCAGCGCTGCTCATCTACTTATAACCTTCCCTTTCCGTCCTTCCCTCCCTCCCTCTCCCCTCCCTCCCCTGCCTTCGGACTGTCACCTCTTCTGACGGCAATGCAGTGCGAAGAAATGAAGGTGCTGGAAGATGAGGGACAGAGAAAGAAGGGAAGGAGGACAGGCCTCAAGAGCAGCACAAGGAGAAGCCGAGGAAAAAAGAAAAGAGAGCAAAAAAGGCGAGCGAGAAGAAGAGGACAAATGCACCCTCCCCTTACGAAAATAGAAGTGCAACTTTGTCATTTGTTACGCAGATTCTCCCGGCGGAAGGAATGAATGAATGAAAGGGGAGGGCGATACACTTTTCACAGCTTGCCCCAAACCGTCCCGAGAGGTGCCATCCCATCCATTCTGTCCTCCTCCTCCTACTCCTCCTCCTCCTCCTCCTCCTCCACCTCCTCGTCAACAGCAATCCCTCCCGTCCCCCATTCCCACTACACAACAGTACAGTGGTCGACCACCACCACCACCACACCTCCCCTTCCTTCTCCTTCGCCCTCTCCTTCACCTCCACCTTCACCCTCACTTCTCCCTCCCATTACCATCTACCTGGTTCCCCATGTCCGCTTCTACTCCTGCACTGCTTTTCTCTCTCGCTCCTCCCTCAATCCAAATCCCCGCCCTGCACCCCCTCCTCCTCCTCCTCTCCTCGAGCGCATTCCCAGCACTCCCTCTCTTCTGCCTCTGCAGCCCCTTCTCCCTTCTTGCCCTCGCTGCCAGCGCCCCCGGGGATCGTCGTCGGGTGCGTCCGAGGAGCGCCGGAAACGTCTGTCCGGCCGGCCACTTTGCGACCTAAAATTGGAGCGAGGGCAAGTCTCGCGCTAAATTTGGGCGCTGATGTGGAGGGCCGAGAGGTGCGAACCTCACGTTCGTGTCAGAAGTTAGAGGAGTAGGCCTGAGCGGCCCCCCGATCCGCGATGCCGGGTGCTAAACATAATATACCTCCGCACCGGAACAGAATCAGGGACCGAAGACGTCTTCAGATTTGGACGCAATCGCTTCTTCTAGGGTGCTCTCGTGTGGAAACGATGGGTATCGTCCACACGAGTGCAGGATTCTTGAAGGACCGCGCTTTTCTGCTCCTCTTCCTGCGAGTACAATTTTGCGCGGCTCTGACCAAAGTTTGGCAATCGGCTGGTTGGCGTAGTTCCTCAAGTTAGGCTGCCTGCGGTCGCTCTTCTCTCGGGCACCCCCTAATTTCAAGATTAGCTCATCTTGAGGACAAGAAGTGGCGATTGCGTGAGATCGCAGTCAAACTGGAAATAAGATAATGGTGGTCAACTTGGCGTACGTTTGTTATGACCATAGTTCCCTCAAGAGTTTGGGAGTGAAGTTTCGCATGCGAAACTTTGCGTTCCATCACCCCCAAACGCTGCTATTTGCCAACACATCCAAGAATTTTTTGTCCTCGCCAATAACGTTTTCGTCTTGAGATGGGGATTAATAGAATGCCGGGAAAGGTGGTGTGTTCTCGGGCCATGCATTGCCAGCACTTGCCCAGTAGAACTTACAAGGATTCGGTGAAACCTCCCATTTTGATTTCGATCTCAACATTATCAACCTGATTTTCTAGTAACTCGGGCAATTCCTCAAAGTGCTTTGGAGACAGGGTTTGAAGTCTAAGTGCACTCGAACACGCCACCCCCGCCATCTCCCAATAGTCGCACTCGCCAAACAAGAATCTTTGCATGCACTAAATATTCGCCCTGGTACCTTCGATATACCCGTAAGTGTGCAGCAGAGAGTAAACCTAAGAGGATGACAGTGCATTATTCAAGACGAATGTCAAGGATAGGCCACTTTCGCTAACTGGCGTGCTCTTACTCTTACCCGACCTTCTTCTTGTCAAAAATAAGTGCAGCGATGTGGAGTCCCTACCCTTGGTGATTGTGCAGCTTGTGCTCCTTGTGCTCTTCGGCTTCCTTTGATTCTGCATGCTGCAGGCCTCGTTGTCAACTTGTTGTAAGGAGTATCGGCAGGTTTGTTCGTTACTCGGTCAATGCAGCAATGCATCGGGCACTACTGAACGTGGCGTTCCAGTGAACTAGTGAGATGTAGTGTACTAGGATTTGAGATATTAAAGATGCGGCAACCGCATTCCCTAACTACGATAGGGTTGACCTGACCAAGAAGACGTGGGACAGGTGCGATAGTGTTTCTAGCTAATGGGAGTTGTTCCTGAACTTCATGTTTTGAAATTTTTGGACTGGTCCATATTTCTGGCATCCAGGGCGCATCCGGAGTCGTCAAACCTTGGAAGGTAAAGCTCTTGAATATCTTCTTTAGCAACCGACTTCTTCCTAAAATGTGGTGTCGTGCTTGAACTCCAACTTACGGCTGTCTGGAGTCGGCACTCTTGCTCTTGCGTATGGTCTTCGAAAGTGTAAATAATCAGCGTTACAAACATATATACAAATGTTCTATGCTCCCGTCTTGGCATGCGTCTGATGGCTAGGAACATCTTTGACTCATAAACTCGCTACTACAAAGTTTACTTCTAAACACTTGTATCAGAGATCCTGGATCATGGAAGATGTTTGACTCACACCCTCCCTCCTGATTCTTCGGAAACACTTGTAGTCGAGATCATGTTTGCTGAATTATAACAAATTGATACTAGGTGAAAGCATATGGATAAATCAGCCGGAAGAGATGCCTTTTAGCAAGACTCCACCGTATGATCGTACGAAACACATCTACTTAGAAATGAAGAAACGCGATCTTGGGTCTTTTGCAGTTGCCGGACTCGGTATGCGATGAAACAAAGATATCGCACTTGCTCTCGAGCTACATGCTTAAGTAAGTATGCTTTCATCTCCAATAAGCTTATATCTAGTGTTGCAGAATAAATCGAAGTCCGTGTAACAGACCAAGTTATGGTCTGCTCGTCACACCCACGTGGTCAGTGGATATGCCCAATTTCACTTGCGACGTAGTTGCCAGAAAGTTCTGAAGGTGCGAAGTGGAAAAGCGTGCAGTCCGTCAACATCCTTGTAGTTTTTGACTTCCATCCTCCAAAGAGGAATGTTGTGGTCTAGTACGCCCATGGACAAGCTGGTGTACGGAGAATTAGAGTATTTCTTTACTGAGATAAATCGATTCCTCTATATAGAGTTTTTTGATACATTCTCGCATATCCACCTGACCCGCGTCTATCTCTTAAGTCGAGGTTGAGAATAACCAATGTGATCAAATTGTGGTTTCTGTGCTAATTCGTCCTTTAGCAATGTTCATAGAAAAAAGTGTCTAACTTGATATGTGTTTCAGCCGAAGACCACTGTGCTCTTCGGTTAAATAAAGATTAGAGGAGTCCTTGATCGACGTACTCATTGCACATTGTGCGACACCTTCTGACGCAGGAACATCATACACGGAAGCGGATCTCGAAGGAAAGGCGTTGTCGTCAATCATCTTCATGCATTATAATAACGTAAGTTGCTTTAAGGATTCTCTCCTTTGCGAATTTATCTCGTCTTTGAATATCGTCAAATCCGACATCACTCGAGGTGTTGAGAAGAAACTCCAGCAGCCAACAGGCTGATGAAGAATGCAATTTGTTCTTGCGTAAGATTTTTTTGTTTGTCGCAGACAACGAAGTTACTCCATTGTCAACTAGATAATATCTGAGAATAAAACATTGCGAAGCTATGACATGACCACATTAGGCAGCTCTAAAATCTCCTTCAAAAGAGAGGTCCACCCATTGTTCGATCTACAAGTGGGCCTAATGCATACGTTTGTGACAGTCGTTGCCCACCCAAAAGGTTTTGTCTCTCGCTAGTTGGGTCGCTATTGTTTATTCTAACCGTACCTGTAAGTGAAGTGGAGGACTCTGATCTGTCCGCATGTTCCTGGCTCACCAAAAGCCGTCCGCTTAGTACACCCCAACACCCCGTTTCCTCATATTACTTTTGTCACTTATGCAATTGCGGCATTTCATTGAGAACAGTACAGCAGTGACAGTCTTAGCTGAACGAAGTGTTCACCATTCTGTTTGGGACCAACGGGGTCGTGGGACTTTGTCCACAACCGCTGACCCCAGGGTCTCGTCCTCCTCCTCCATTCATGGACCGAGCATCGCTTGGGAATCTCGGGCCGGGTTGGAATCCTCCAGCTGCAGGTTCGCTGGGAAGAGAGCGATGGGCGCCCTCTCACTTTTTGGCGTCTGAGGCAGGTTGGCCACATATCTAGAGTGCAGTCCTCTTTGTTTGTCCGCTAATGGCGAAGGAGTCCACGAAGGGACAGGGCAAGCATGAATGAATGGTATCATATACCGCCGAACAAAGCGATCTGATGCATTGCTGCCAACAATCAGACTGATGGAAGAGTCATTCGAAGGCAGGCGAGGAGATAAAAGTAGGATCCCAGAGATGCAAGACTCCAAATATATCATATTCTTCCGAGAGAAAGTTCCAGTAATTAGCGGACTAGAATGGCAAGTTAGGGCTTCATATCCAGCACCTGATCTTGTATACTTCCAGCCACGGAATGAATGGTGAGTCACCTACGGTAGTCAAGGGACAGACTGACAAATTTGAACTGAAGCTGATCGACCATAAAGCGCTAGCAAATGTTGTCAGCCTGAGTTGAACACTTCAATATGTGAGCAGTTTTGAGTGAAAAGTGATTTCATAGAGATGATATGGGCATTTAACTCCACACGTATTATTCATATAGTGTGTGACTTGCTGTTTCAACTGTTTCAGGAATCAATATGGTCTATGAAAAGGTTAGTGTGGTGTCCTCACACCGCTGTCATGACAACATAAGACGAAATTCCACCTTTATCTTTTAAAAAACTCAGTATCAATATTCCTCTTTCCTGTTGTTTGTGCATAGGCAGTAACATCCCCGGTGGAATGTATTTGAGAACCATTGAACCTCCGCACAATCTCGTCCACTACTACTTAATATGCTTAGACAAAGTGCGAGAGTTCACACTGACCACGAGATGGTGTACTAGATAAAATTTTACACACCACTATTTACAGTTGCCTTTGTAATTGACTGCAGATATCAATTTCTTTGTTTACTTGGCCCATCGCGACAATTATCTACAAACATGGTGCATGAAGTTGAGTTTTCTCCTCACTCTAGAGTTAAGAAATCCCAACATCAATTTCTTTCAAAGGATGGACATTCGAATGTCCTACTGACCAATTGTGAGCTCTACCAAATCCCACACACTTTTTAATGTATCTATAGTATATACAGGTCCATGGTTGCAAAATGTTGGATTGATAGGAATTAAAGATATTATGTTAAACAATTACAATATCAAGTACTGAATGTTGAAGATCCATGTGAATCAAGAGCTGTTTGAAACGTTGACAGAGGGCTGACTGCAATGATGAAATTTCACATTATTCAGTTGTATACATCATGTGATACCGTTGTATCTATGCCAACTTTATTGTATTAGGTTCCATCTTTTATCAAGTTTACAAAAAATAGTTTCAATTATAACTTTTATATTTTTCGCAATGAGAAGAGAATTTTTGAAGAAAGATTACACATGTCAGGCTGATATATTTCGTCAGTCTGAAATTTATTTATTCTTTTACATACGCAAATTCTTTTTAATTTAACAAGGAATGGTCATATTCAGAAATTGAGAATGCACCTAATTTGCATTTAAATTTCACCATACAATGTCCTTTTCTAGTAAAAATATGACCGCCCAAAGGAAAATTAAACTCGGTCAATATTATTCTAACATTCTTTTAACAAATTTTTTATGTTAACGGTGATAAATTTAAATGATCAAATGGAAATCAAAATAAAACAGTCGGTTAATATGTCAGTTAAATAGTCAGTTTGATTACTCTAACTAACTATTCAATGTTAAATTTGATTGTTGGTCTGCGCTTTCACTTCCTTCAATGGTTTTTGTTATAGGTTTCCATTTCTTCCCTCTTTTATTGAACTCATTGCATACTTTTTTTCTTCGTACTTAACAATGTTTCTAGTTAATCTGTTCATACCAACTCTAAAACCTACTCCGGTACAACATGCGATATGTAGCATTGAAATTCCTCCGGGTATATATTCAACACACTATTCATGAGGTATCCGTTCCAAGGAAACGAGATTTGCATGGATACACAGGCTACGTCTTTTCTTTTTTATTTATCCTCTTCTCTAAAATAGAGAATAGTCAAAAGCCATCAAATTACGGCTATGGAAGATGTCAAAGATGTTAAAAAATCGGGGTACAGGGTAGGGAGCAACATTACGTAATTATTATTTTTAGCCCATGTTCACAAACGCTCATTGCAGATCATCTGACATTGTCTGAATATGTAGGCTGGAAGAAAATGCCGTGAGCCATTGTTGATACATGTAGCCCATTTCTTGACAGCACGAACATTTCAGGAATGAATGACAAAAGCATTTGAGAAATCTTGTTTCTGCTGGGGGGAGGGGGGGAGGGGGTTGTGGTGCAGCTGTGTAGAGTAAGTGATGAGAGCGTTAGTGGAATAGAGAAGGTAACGAGGTGGATTTCGAACTCCCGAGCCACTAAGGGAGGTGACATAAGATACACGAGAGAAAGTTGTAATGAAAAGCACCCCTAATTGTCTCGAGGCGGGAGGATGTACAGTCTCTCTCTCTCTCTCTCTCTTTCTGGGTGGAACATGAAGTCAAAGCAGGATTGATAATTGGTGGTTGCTTTGCTCCACAGCATCGATACGGTTTGGCTCTCCTGCACAGAACGCCATGGCAGACCGTCAGTTGAAGACGTGTATTTCATGGGAACGGGAGAGATTTAGCCCCACAGTAACATTTCGAGCTCTGCGCGCTCAAAAGCAGAAGAATGTTCGGTGTTTTCATATGAGCAAACATCCACGAAGGATTTTTGATAGATCCGATGAAGAAAAAGAAAGCTTGGCCGGCGGTTTCTTTCATGGGCCTATGCAAGGCTTTGGGGTTTGTTAGTAATCCTCGGATATGATGTTCCTCTATTGGCCCGTTCAGTCTCGTGGTCGGTGCTTACTGTTTCCGGAACTAGGTTTTCGTGCAGAGCTCACTTTGGCTTCTCTTTTGGATTTTCTTTTGTCCGTTTCACGGCTCTCCCTCTGGCTCCGTCTCTTGCTCACCATGATAGTGTTGGAACTTAGACCCCATTCTCTTTCTCTTTCTCTCTCTCTCTCCACACCAACACCAAATAATAGTTCAACGAAGAGCGGGCTGCTCCTCAGAGGTTGGATTCTAAATTGAGGGAGAAACCTTACGCCAGGTTCGAAGGTTAGGAATTCCTCAAATACAGTCCCAGATCTAGTGTGTAGTTCCATAGCTTCTCATCTATATGGAGATACGCAACTTTTCCAGATGGACGATTTCCTGGGATGATGAGTGGCTTGATGTTGCTGTAGTAGCATCACTTTCGTGGGCAAAGTTCGAGGGTTTTGTAGACACCATCCTGATTAGTGTCATTCTTTGATACCATCTGCAAAAGTGAGAAGACTTTTGTCCACCTCTCTTCATTCCAACCGTTAGCACTTTTGCTGATCCTTGAGGTTTATTTGGCAAAGGTTGTTTTTGTTTTGACCATCTGCAATTCCAAGCACAGCAGTTCAAGGACAAAGTGGCCTTGACCAATTTAAATGGGTTAAGTTTGAGATCGAGCTGGAACAAGGGCCCGAGCTCTTGCTTGAGGGAAGAACGCGCATCAAAATGGTAGTTCGAGTACTTGACTTTGGGAGACTAACTAACTTGAATTAGAGAAATCAATGCTCGACTTTTGAGCAAGATAAAAGACGCCATGTCCATGCAATGGATGGGAGGATGACCATCTCTCTTTGCTCCATTCGTTGGGAATCTGGTCCATGTGTATTTGTCCACACTTTCATCATTGATTTTTCATACTTCATAACTTTTGCTAGCATTTGTTCGTCCAGAGTCAAGTTCGTGAAGAGGCTTCTTCTGACAGGCAGAGAGACACAAAGCTCATGAGTTGCACCGTGAGGTTTATGTTCAGAGCTGCAGTACAAGCAGCCAAGCTCTCACTGCAACCAATTCGTGCAGTATGTCACACATCACCACTAGGGGTCAATCATCCGGAGCTGAATCTACGAGCGAACATGCCTACAAGCAGCCAGACATGATTCTAGCGGCGAAGAAAGGGCGTACTATGTCACAGAGCACTAGTAAGCACACAATCCTTTGACCTTGTGGGCCTGTTGTCTCATGCGTCAATGCTTCTACCCGCCCGAGTCACACCTACGCAAGCCGATGCTTGGGCTCAGCCACATGATCACTGTCACCTAGTAATGAATGTATCTTACTCACTCCAGAGCCGAAACCTCATTCGTCGCTCATTCAAAGCGAAACGTTTCTATGCTGAAAATAAGCACGGGAATCTGGAGAGAACCCTGCTTCTTACTATCACTTGAGGATTTTAGCCCTTTCTCCGTATACTCCATGATGCTGATAGCTGCTTGGCGTTCAGTTCCCATCTGTTGCTCCTTCGCTGAGACTGAGATCGTGCCCGATTAGGCCACATGTGATTCTGCTCAGTTTCTGCCAAGCTCCGAGGTCTACTGCAAGAGACAAATCCCGGGCCGTGCACAATGTCTAGGAGCCACATCATTGACTGGGTGGACATGTTTGTGCTGTGCAGATCAGTGGCGGATTGACTTGATTGTGCCACGCACGCTCCCAGGTATATCCCTTCGCGCTCCTCCTGTGACGGCAACATGAGACAGGGCAACTTTCCATGCATGTTGTGCGCGCTTGCTGCCGCTAGATGATGTTTTGGATTCCAGTTGCAGTTCTCTCAACGTCACCACAGTCTTTATCCACAAATATTCACTGAGCAGTTATTACGTCACTCTCCATAGTGAAAAGAAAAACATGCTTTGAGTCAACGACACGTGCTCTCCCTGATCGAGTGTTGGGAATCCAGTCCAATGTAAGTGACCAACAGCTCGCGCCCAGCACACTTTTACCACGTTACTGAGCGTTTCTACTTTTCCCTTTGAAGTCGCTTATCTCGTGGGTGACCTGAGTCGGGAGTTGACCGAACCCAAGTGCTCTGATTTGGTCAGTGCTCTGCTTAGGTCGGTGGGGCGAGACGATCAAACAAGCGATGACATCCATGGACAGAACACTGGGCTTTTCTGAAGCATTCGGAGAATAGTTATAATATATACATTGTGATAAAATTATGGACAATTTGCAATCATCGACGGTCTGGCACATTCGATGCAGGTTGGACGATCCCACTTTGGGTCATAAAGAGTTGCACGCTTCTCGAGGCCAAGTATGACTGGGGAATGGGTACAAGACGCGGTTCACAAATGTCAACAGAACACTTTTCTCTTACGTTCCAATTCACCTGATCACTGCACTGTTTAAGTCCAGAAGCTACCTTGAAGGGGACATTACAACTCTCCACAAAATACAGTTTATGGAGAGTCCAGACGAAGACCTCCTCTAGTTTGGATATCGAACGAAATTCGTAAGATCATCCTGTGAGTATACTCATAGCTGGCTATATAATACTCACAGCCAGGAAGAGATCCCAACTCTCGAGGATTGTTGTTACGTGTATCAGATAAGCAAGTGAACTAGCAAGATTTTTATACAAACTTCTATATATGTGAGATGAACTGAAAAAGAAAGGATCAATGGACTAGTTCAAGACTTCGACATTCTTGAACCCGATGTTTCAATTAAGTACTTGCAATAAAAGTACTCGGCCTGAACAATGTAAGTGGACGCGGGCTCCAAGAAGAATACAGCTCAAACCAACTCAAGGCAAATCCTAAAAATTACACCTTCCGTTGAAGTTGAGTTGCCTTATCTGAATCTTAAGATCGTAACAAAAGTCTCACCAAGTTGGGGGAAAAAGTGTACATCTTGGATTCGACCTGTATAAAAAAAATTACAATTTTGTGGAACTACTTGTAAAACTCGAACTCTGTGTCTGACTTCTTCACATTCGATCTATATCCCTTTTCAAAATCCTTCGGAAGGATTACATATCGATTTTTCCGAACGGCATGCATTCCTGCCTCTTGACATATTGCAGATATCTGTACCCAAGTCAAACTTCAAGTCAGCAACGAAGTTCAAGGAGAAAAAAATGATCTCCAGTTAGTCCAAAAGTGAAGGGAGAAAAAAAACTCCACAACTTTCGTGGAGAACTTCCAGGAACTTCATCACTGAGAAGACTCGATTTATAAAACACGGTAGACCAACATAAATACAAGAAACATAACCGATCTGATTCCAATATCACACATCAAGACTACCTACCACGAACACCGTTCAGAAAAAGACGTCACCCATCAACTCAAATTGCATTGTCTAGTCTATTTGGAGGCTTGAGAGGCACACACCTCTGCGGCACTAATTTTGTCAGGTCTCGAGACGTAGTCCTCAAGGTCCACTTCATCACTAAGGTTCATCTTTGCTGTGCAAACCTGCAGATAAAACAACATTGGGGAGGTAAAAATGTGTGGCATTCTACTGTCCAAGTCAAACTAAGAGCGTTCGAAAACGCAACCTGTAGGAGAACATATAGAGAGTTGGAACAAACCTGGAAAACTAAACGCTTTTGTCGCCTGTCCGGTAATGGGAACTCAATTTTCCTATCAAGACGACCAGGACGAAGAAGTGCTGGGTCGAGAGTATCGGCACGATTCGTGGCCATAATAACCTTCACGTTCACAGTCTGATCGAAACCATCCATCTGCAATTCCACCAACAGGAACAATAAATAAGGGTCGTGGGGTTAAATCGTTATATTTACTACTCGTCATCTAGATCTCAACCTGCTACGTGATGTTAGACAACTTTCGAAAAGGAATTGTGTCACAAGACAAAGGATGCGTTACGGCCTTAACTCTGCAGATGTGGCAGATGAGATTATTGATACATGCGGGAGGAGGTGAGAATTTACAATCTATGTCAAAGTTCACCTACCTGATTAAGCAGCTCCATAAGAATACGTTGGACCTCCCTGTCGGCACCGGTTTGAGCATCAAAACGAGCTGTAGCAATCGCATCAATTTCATCGATGAATATAATAGCAGGAGCATTCTCTTTGGCCAAACGAAAGACGTCTCGCACCATACGAGGACCCTGCGATCAAGGATGCTTCAGTAAGTGCACCCACATGTTGCACCTGCAGAACGTGGAGTCTAGCGAGGCCTCTAAGGAAATTGTGAGATTCATTTGGAGCGATCAACTATAAGTCTGTTATTAGTCCAGAACGATACCGAGGGGTATTAAAAAAAATAACAGTTGTACCCACCTTACTATCTCATCTACGGCTCATAATGGAAGTCACAACAACCATCACGGCCTGTCCTTTGGTATCCTTTCCGAGGTGCCAAAAGATACATAATAAACCCTTAACATATATAATGCATACGACGATGGATGCGATAGTTGAGTAAAATCGACGGACAAGCCACAGATGCAGTTCCTTACGAATTACTGACTAGCGTGCTCAGAAGAGTAAACTAAGTTTAACACTTGGGCATATTTATATGAAGGTAAGCGCGTATTTCACGAGTAATCTACGTCTCGATATATGTATCCCTTCGTATATACTTGGACGGTATCTATATCAATCTACGTGCAGTAGGGACCAGGATGATGACGTGAAGACAACTACATGAGCCAACAGCAACACGGAATAGGTGAAAACCGGATCAAGCACCGCAGAAGAATGAAGAGTCACCTTTTCGACAATAGTTCAACGAGCCTGTGTTCCTATCTTCTGGGCAAAGCTTTCAACTTTGCTACAAACAATAGTCGAAACGTGTGCAATGGTCATCACACCCGAAGAGTAAAACGAAGGAGGAATCAAGCAGAACTCTACCTCTCCAAGGTACTTCTGGACGAACTCCGAACCAACAACACGAATGAAAGCAGCAGTTGTGTGATGAGCAACTGCCTTCGCAAGCATGGTCTTTCCAGTTCCAGGTGGACCGTACAGAAGAACTCCTCTTGGTGGGTCGATACCAATTTGCTTGTAAAGCTCGTGGTGAGTGAGAGGAAGCTCTACTGCCTCCCGAATTTCTTGCTTCTGGATGTCGCAGCCTCCGATATCCTGGTAAGACAACGTCACCATGAGAAAAACGCATGGCCCTATTGAAAAGATGATAGATGTTACACATTGTACACGGACGGACTGACAGGAGAGACCTCGACGTACGAAAACTATCAAGTGTTGGTTGACCAGCTGGGGACTGAAAATCAAGATGTACTAAAGTCAAATTTGAGAAAACAGTATTGAGGGAGATATTTGCAAGGCCCGATAGCATGGCAACTGTGGTTAAGAATCCGATTGCAAGTGCAGACTGACTCAGGCTTCATTCAATAAGCAAGTACGGCACATGAATGTGTAGTCCAGTTATTACAGAGAATTATTCAGTTTTACTTCTTCAAACACACTGAGCTTAGCATGTACAATACCGAATTGCTCAAACCTGAGAGGTACATCCGCAATAACTCTATCACAAAATATAGAAGGCAAAGGCAGAGCGAAGGATAAATTGCGAGATATCGCAAATGTCAGAATGTACCGAGCAAAAGCTGCGTGGGAGGAAAAGAAAAGGAACCGGGCAGGCACGTAAGTATGAAAGCGCCAGCTCATGTCATGAATGCATGGGAACGGGGGTAATATGGTAGAGTGCGGGAGACACTAGGCAAACAATTGTTCGAAATAGTTCCTCCTTTCCTCCATGAGAGGAGGAAACAGGGACCATAGACAAGATCTACTCGTGGCATCACATAATCATAACAGAGTCCGGCTCCTTCATCAGTGAGTAAAATAGTCAATTCCTGAAGTGAAATCAAGACCTAACAGACCGATATATGTTGCCCACACCCATGGTAGACCAAGGATGGCACAGGGTTTAGAGCTAGAGATACTGGGGTCTGAAGAGACAGAGTGCAGTTATGAAAGTACAAAAAACAAAATGCCTCAGCACAATGCAACGGACTTATAAAAAGCTCCCGCTGAAATCTGAAAACACACAGAGAGAGATTCCGATGGCTGGAAATCCGAGGAGGTACAACTTGCAGCGGCTCACACAATTTGAACCGACACACATAAACGACAGGCCGATGCGATTTTCTTGTTTGCATCTATCAATTTAAGCAACGATGGCATCAACAAGGTCAGCGCGAGAGATATGATGACAAAAAGACTTTCTAGTAGATCACCCTAAGTTCTCGGCATCGAAGCATCGACAAGATAACCAATTAAAGGATCTTCAATAACAAGTAGTGAAATTTAACTTGTGAGCCTGATGTGGAGGGAAAATACGAGCTAGGCATTAAGATAAAAAGAAAAAATCTTTCTTCTTCTTAGCCAAAACTAGCTCTGTTCATAAGCAAGAGTATGGACGAAAAAGCCCCGACAGACAGACAGTAACCGAGATCCGATGAGGGTTTAATCCTACTCAGCTGAATCAACCGAAGTAATGACGAAAGAAAAGACAAGCTGACATCGAGTGTTGAGATTTCGACAACTCAGTGTCCAGATACTAATAAACCGAGTGAAAGTTTGGCTTTTCACAAAAATCGCAAAGCTTTCCACGAGCAACACAAAATGCTGGCACGAAAACAGTAACATACTGGGGGTACGAACCGCCAACGTTCAAATCAACATGCCTCGCATACCAGGCCTTGACAATAGCTCAACAGACTCCACACAAAGTGCATAGCATGTTCCGTGAGCAGACCCCACGTGCTGAATGGTCAGTTCTAGACGGAGTTACCACCCGGAAAGAGAGAGGATACTAGGGTGAAGGGAGGACGTGAACTTCAGTTCCCATTGTTCAGTAAATCAGATTTGAACAGGAAAGCCACCACACATTTTTTTACCGAGGGGCAACAACATCAAATGCATAAAAAAGCAGCGGCTCCACTAAATTCCTGTTCAGCTGTTCTAGAAAAGGAAACTGATAGTTATCTAAGCACCTTCTTTCAGTTCTGGAAAACCTAAATATGCCTTTCAGCTGGAGTTGAAGGGAGAATTTGGAACAGAACAAATTCTCCATTCGAATCAGAACTCACGTCTATGTGACCTAAAACTCGTCAATTCAAGAGGAAAGGCTAGTAACATTTTCGCCTCAAAAGAATGAACGACATCGTACCATGTAAGAGACGTCGGGCTTCTCGGATTGAGTCAGCAAAGAGATGCTAGAGTCTGCTTCCGGCGGCAAAACATCCACCAAGGCGTTGGAGTGGCGGTGCAGGGCGACAGAGGAAGAAGACTTCAACAACTCACGGTTGATAGTACTCAAAATCCTGACATAGTAATTCGACCCAGTAGTGGACCCGACAATACCATTGTTCTGATCGACCATCTCAATGAACTGCCCGATCACTAGCGGCACCGACTGGATGCGCTTCACCTCTTCCTGAGCCCTCAACAACTCGCGCTTCAAATTCTTCTGCTCATCCTTCACATACTCTTCCTGAATATCCACAAACTCCAACTGGCGCTGCAGGAACTTCAATCGAGTGTACAAATCCTCCTCGTCGTTATCGACCGCGGTGGTGGAAAACTCCCCCGCTGCAGGCTTCGTCGCCATCACCGGGGGCACCGAGAAGTCCATCGCTACGGCGGCCTGCGCCATCCTTGCCCTCAATCGCCTCGATCGCACTCGTGTCTCTGCGCAAATTCTTCGCCTCGCCTGGCTTGATTTCCAGTCAGTAATCTCAGTCCCGACTACCGATTTGGGCCGAGGATCGATCGATCGATCGATAGACAGGCCGAATGCAAGGGCACGCAAGCTCTCGTTGCTCTCTCTCTCTCTCTCTCGCGCGCGCCGGGCTCGAGGAATGTTGAGGCCTTCGACGCGACGTCTTGACAGACGTTTCTTGCTTAATACGACAAATTATTGCGTTACACTCATTTGTATATCGCATTTATTTGAAGTCGCATTCTTCTCCTTTGTGCTAATGAGGAGGATATATTTCCCTCCATTGAACAGAAGATTTCCATTTGAGTTCCTAATATTCCTCAAAAATCCACAAAATAAATTTCCTAATGTAGGAGACAAACCACTTGCCTACATACTTGTTTACAATAACGTGACAATGCATTCAGCCCCAAAGAAATGAACCCAGTTTCTTTGGATCATTGAAACATATATCTACAAGTATGTATTATTTTGCCATGTATACTTCCATACAAATGATTCCAAATTACTCATGTGTTTCATTTCTGTATTGTGAACGGATTCAAACCACAATAAATATAAAATATATAGTTATGATTGAAGTTACAAATAGCACACTTTACCGACGATTATTTTGAGTATGTATATATATTCTTCATAATTAAAAGTTTGTTCGTTATATTGATTATTTTTCTTTGATGATAATGGCGAGTCATTACTACTAAATAACTCACTGAAAATGTAAAATAAGAAACGCCTAGCAACAAATTCCACGTGTCTTGTTCTTCACATTAAGTCAAATTGCACTTCTTTGAACAAATTATAATACTTTGAAACTCCTCACTGACTAGAATAAGAGACTGTTACGATATTATAACACAACAATATCGGGAAAGAAACTACTTAGATCCAATACAAGATGCACAGAGATGTATGATTTCAATAGGTATACAAATGCCACGATAAGAAATGCGTATATGTATAAATCATGTATTCTGCATATTTTTCCATCAGAAAATATTAATGAGCAACAATGATCGGAAGTGAGTATTTACATCACTCTCTTATTTCTACAATCGAATGTATACACATTAATAAAAAAAACGTAACAAGATATGTATTTGAAATCAATAACTTATTATTGAGAAATTTCAATTATGTAATAGCTTCGGATTTATAAATGAACACTACTTTAAATTATGTTTTTATTTCTTCAAAAATTTACATATATTCATTATCTAGAAAACACCAAATAATAATTTAATAAATCTACATGGCTCTTCACGGAAATAATCTATAAACTTGATGATTTAATACGTATGGAACATATAAGAATATACATTTTTAGTACTTTATATCAATTGGACTTTATCTGATAATGAACAACAACATAATCAAGTATTTGAAAATCATGTTACAATCATTTATCAGGTAATCTTACTTGGACTTTTGGAATAGATATTTTATATTTTATTGCTTACAATTGTTTCTTCATATACTTAAGTAATTTGTACAAACATGCTGATATTTTGGTGGTTAAAATATAAAATAATATTTTTCACCATGTAAACATATGACATAATATTGTAAATAATCTGCGGATATTAAATTTGGCAAAACTGCCTCAACGCATTATTTTCTATCACATATATTGATATGTTGCCATAATGAGAATTTTGAATTCCAAAGTTCAAAATTCTCTACACTGAAGAATAATGATTCACATAACATGAAATTATATACACACCATTTTACTAAAATTTTATCTACTAAAAGTTTATCGTATGATTGGAAAATTTCCAACGATAAATATTAAAGCAAATTTAATCTTCTTATGTAGTCCATATGTGATATTGATATGTCTAGAAAAAAACTAATGGATAATGGGGCATATTTGCATTGAATGCTTAAAATATTTCAAATATTTATATTTTTTCAACTGCATTGACAATTAGGATTTCTTACACTAGCAAGTAAAATATGTGTATTAATCCTACATGAAGCAAAGTTTGCAACAATCAGCTACATAAATGTAACATATTTGCAAACATCTTTTATGAATATAGTAAATACATCATGAAACTTACATAGATTTATGAATTTTAGTAATTGTACATGATAAAAACTATGAATTATATTCCAAATTCTAAAAATACGCAAAGTTAAATGAAATAAAATATGCAGAATTGTGAGCATGATATTATTTTACAAAGTTTGAAAAAATATATTCATACACGCTTGTGCAAGAGAGTAAAATTTAAAATCATAAAACCTAGGCAACAAAATAAAAAAGTATATAAAATATAATGTATGTAATGCTTAATGATGAATGAAAGACATTTATTTTAGCTTATGCAATTTTTCAGTATATTAAAAGAGTATTGATTTTTACCATGCAATATTTACAAAGACATTCATGGAATATTTGTTGCTTTATAAAGTAAAAAACTGCACATTACAACATTTGTTTAAAAAAATTGTAGTTATTTAATTAAAATTGGCTAAACACGTATGTTTTTATAATGACATGTCAGGTCCAAAATAGCCGTGGTAGCAGTCAGACGTGGTCAGGATGTAACGCAGTAGCGGTTGACGTGGTTGTAGTCGACGTGATAGGACACAATCGTGGTCGGTAGAAAAGTGATCGATGGTGGTCACATACGACGTTAGTTGCGGGTGAAATGGTGCAATTGCGGATGACGATTGTCACAAGCAACGGTGATCACGGGCGACGATTACTGTAGATGACGAACGGTGTATCGCAGACAATGATGATCGCGGACGGATTTTGCGCACTGACGGGCAATTCAAGCTAGACCAATCCTGAAGATTCTATTTTCTGAAAGATTGTGTACTTTCAAAAGAATGTTTTGTTTGTGCATATTTTGTTCAACACACTCTTTGTAAAAATATAAGCAATTTGGTATAGTTGGAAAGCTCATGACACGGCTAGTGCATCTTGACACTTTTCAAAAATTGAAAATGCATTCGAATGGCAAAATTGACACGGAAGCAAATGTTGTCACTAGTTTTCGTCGAACTGAGATGACATCGAGACAAGTTACAAGATCAGCTTAAAACATCCTTACCTTTCATGGCCGAGGTGACTCCCTGCTTTGGGAAAAACAGATGAAAGACAAGTTGAGATCTATGGGTCTCGCTAATGTGCTTAGAGACAAACCAATGCACATTAGCGACATTGATTAGAGGAATTCCCAAGAGCAGACAGTCTACATTGTGATGGATCATTTAGATACTTCAATTATGAAGCAAGATGAGGAATATTTTAAAAATACAGAGCTTTTTGCTGCTCTATAGAAACGGTTTCATCAGAATAAACTATCACATGTAATGAACACCTACATCATATTATTGAACTTCAGTATAAGATAAAGTTCAAACATTCAGATCACATTCACGCCTACAAAGATTTGTTGGTAGACCTTCAGAGTATGTGAAAGTAGCTTTCTCACATAAAGAAATTTATGCATCTACTCCACCCCTTGACTCCCTCCAACCAGACGATATCAAAGATTCTACTTTATCGTGATAACAAGGCTGTAACTTACAATGAGGTTGTGAGCTCTCTTGACGGACGAGATAGAACAAGAGATGTTGTCATTTTCTCGCCCATTCGCTTCAACAACTGCACTTATTGTGATCCGGGTCAGTCACAATTGTCGGGTCTGGAAAAAATTACAACATACAGGATTCAAGTGGTAGAGATCCAGATCCCCTAAGCGTAGGAGAGTTCAGTTTCGGGTTCAATCTCATGACAAGAGTAACTTTTGGGTTCAAAATTCGTGACAAGAAAGGCCACATTATGAATGATTGCCGGATGAAAATATGAGATACAAAACTTATTTAGTGGCAAATGTTACGGAGCAAGTTCATTTCAAAGAGGAAAACATGTTTGTCGACGGTCTATGATGCCGAATTATGCTTCGAAAAAAGTTGTTGGTGATGTACGGATTTGGATAGTGCTTGATCTTATCACATTTGTTACATTAGAGAGTCGATCTAAAATTTCTCATTATCAAAGTGTTCAGTCCTTATGGGCAATGATTAACCTTCTAGAACTGAGGTGGTTAGATCTATGAAGATCTGCATGTTTGATGGTGTCACTATACGCTAACACACGTTAAGTTTATACCTAGCATGAAAAAGAACTTTATCTATCTTAAAGTGTTAGACTAACACTGGATAGAGTGGAGCTCTAGGCATAGCGTGTTAGATGTCAAGTATCTTATGGATGAAACTACGTTGCTATGCGAAATTCCTACAACTTGATCATGTGGGAGTTCAGAGGTAGCAGTTAGGCCTCGGCAAAGTAAGGTAAAATACCTTTTACTCTAGGGTAAAAGGTAAAAGGTAAAGGTAAAGGTAAAGGTAGCAAGATATCAAATGGGTAAGGTAGAGGGTAGAGTAAAGTTAATGCAGGTTTACTTATCCCTTACCCGAGTAATTACCTTTTCACTTGGCCACTCCGCGTTAAATTACTAAAAGGTAACGTAGAGGGCATGGTAACGGTAATGTCGGTGTAACTGCCCTTTACCCATATTAGTTGCAGCTTGATTAATTTTAGTTTTTTGTGCCGTCGTTAAATGATCGTTAATTCTGTGTTGTGGAAAGGTTCTTTAATTCTCTTCTTGTGTGCAGATTGTTGAGTAGTACTTCATTAGGTTAATCTTGAATATATATAGTGAGCACGTCAAACTCTCGTCATCTCAAGTTCTCATTGATTCTTCGACAACTCCTACTTCACATGAGTGATCCCCAATATCAAGCTTCACGTCAGTGATTCCAAGTATCAAGCTTGAGTTTGAAGGGATTCTTGGTACATTACGATGTACATAACTTGCATTAGAGAGGTGTAAGCGACCAAAGTACCAGCTTCCAGCGAAGCACACCAAAAGCTATGGTAATTGTCTTTCTTTGTAGAGATATGCCAAGAGCCGAATCTGTGTTATGATACATTCCGTCCACACATTTTTATTTGCAGTGTTTAGTGAAGAAATGGGTTGTAGATTGGAAGTAGATATGGCTCACTATGTGAAATATTCATATAATGTAGACAAGATACAATTTGGCAGTTTATATCTGGAGGTACACATGTTGCTTATTCAAAATCTCATACGTGTCATGATTTGCGAAAAC